CAATACCTATATGATTTTGCTTAATTTGTAAAGTTCCAAACTTCTTGTTCAATAATAACCTTAAATACCTCATTGCGATAGATATTTCTTGAAGATTATAAACACTATAAATTAATGATTTTTATTTATAACATATACTTGATTAGAAAAAACGATTTTACAAAATATTACTACATACATTCTTACCTCGACAAATTTTCTGCTCTCTTTTCTTTACCATTCGATGCATGAAATATTAAAGGAAATTTCTTATTTGGCAATATTGACCATCCTATTGCCGCATTGATTTCTGGACCTCCGCAAGCAATTAATTCATTATTATAAAATATTTCGTTAGGCACGTGTAATATACTACTGTGACTTCGAAAATTTCGTATTAATTTCGTTATGTAATGCGGATTATATTCGTTTTTTTTGTCTTGTTTATATACAGGAAATTCCATTAATCTCTCTAACATTGATATACCTATGATTAAATTACGACAATGTCGAATTTAATATAAATCCAGGAAAAAATTCAATTACAGAGAAATAAAAAAAATTATATGACCCAATATTACCTAACAACGGTTCTGCTATTTTTGATTGAATAGATGGTCCCAATTGACAAGGATCGCCTGCAATAACAATTTGTGCTTGCAACGAACCTTTGTTTTCGTCGTCTTTCATACATGCTAACAAAAACGGTATTAATGTTTCTGGTTCTATAGATTGACTTGCTTCATCAATGATTACAAAAGAAAAGTGACTTTCCTTTATATTTGCTGTAAAAAGCCTACAACAATATTTTCTATATAGAATATAAATTATACACGAGATCATTTTGAATTTTTTTGTTTTTTGTTTTTAATAGAAATATTATCATATATCAAGTATCAAGATGATCTACATACCTAGTACATGAAATTATCGTAGTGAGAATAATTTTTTTAAGTAATAAAATTTCCTTGGGTAAAAAGATATTTGTATCATTTACAAAATTAGTGCAAGGATATATAATTGGATCTACATCGGACCTATAAAATGAGAGTAGCATGCGTAATACAAATATACATATTACAAATGATGTAATCCAATAATATATTTTAATATTTTATCATTTTGTTACTTTATACCTTTTTTTGCAACGTGGATACATCCTATGCATTTCATTTGCAGGTATATATTTTAATAATCTTTTTGTAATTTCATCTATAGCTGCATTAGACGAAGCACAAACCAATACACTTTTTGATGTACCTTGCTGCCATATCTGCGTCCCTCAACAAAATTGTGTGCATTAATTAAGAGATAATTATAGAAAAAATTATTTGTTATATTAACAATTTTCATCATAAATACCTGGCAAATTAATTCAACCAATGTAGCAGTCTTTCCAGTACCAGGTGGCCCAAATAATATATATGGTGCAGGATAAGCAGTCATACTTAAAATATTTATCACTGCTTGTTTTTGTTCAGTATTTTCTTTTACAGACTTATTCAACCAATTTAAATCTCTGTAAAAGCATAAATATTTAGAATAAAATTGTAACCAAATATAACACAATGATAAATAACTTACGATTTTAAATATTTTGTATTTGTTCTGAATGTTGGATACATTAACGATGTAAGATTATAGTTATTAACTAAATACAACGCATAATGACAACATTTCATAGACCAATTTGAATACATAAATTTTATATCGTATTTCTTATCCGTAACATAGCTATGTACAAATCTGTAACATAATTAAGTATGTAATTAAAATAAAACTTTGGAAGATATTATATAGCAGATAAATGTTTATAAATGACTATGAAAACATACAAAATACTTTCATTGTCTTACTTACTTCTTAGGAACCTCAACATATATAATTTTATTTGAAATTTTTGTAATTTGAGCATTGTATGAATGACCCTCTAAGTCTACCAATACAATCTTATCTTCCATTTTGACAAAAGGATCGTCAATATTTAAAGTGGGTACAAATATATAAAATATATTCTTTGAAAATTGTTTTATTTCTTGGCATTTTAAATTATGTTTATTTATTTCCATAGATTTTGCAAATTCTTCCATGTATAATAAAATTTTAAATAGAAATAAATAGTTCTCTTCTTGTATCTTATTAATTTTTGTAAGACTTTCAATGCATTTTGTATAATTTTGAACCTTCAGGCTGTTATTATCGGTAATCTTCAAATTATTTTTCAGAGCAATTATTAAATCTTTTGGTTTAGATACTTCAGGAAATTTTAAAATTGGTAATTGATCAATAATGTTATCATAATGACTAGTGCTAAAAAATTTTAATCAGTTAAATTAATCAATATCAAACTAATGTATAAATTTAATGCAATTTTACTTACACTTTTTTATTATATATAATCTGGGTTTCTATATCCAAGTTCTCAGTCATTTTGTTTCTAGCCCTATATTTCAACATTTTTTATATATTATTATCATATTATAAATAATCAAAGACGTATGTGGTATGTATGTAACTCTATTCACATTAAATTGTGTTAAATTTTCTTATAGAAATATATGATTGACAAAAAGGATTGAAGTATAAAAATAAAGAATAAAATTAATAACAAACATAATAACAAATTTCTTCCTTCTTGCTATGTTATATATATATATATATATATATGTATATATATCATAATATTTTTAATTATTATTAATAAACTTACTCTATGTCCTTCTTTGTATCTTTTCACGAACGAAACTCAAACCACTTTCTGATCACTTTCTATTACTGATCGCAGTGAAAATCGAACGAAATCTTTGCATCCCTGACAATGAAAAGGGAGTTCCCATTGCGTGCACAAAAGTTTAACTTATCTAAACAAAAAACTATCAGTTATCATTTAGAAGAATTCTCTTATAAACATTCAATATATGTCTATATTTGTTGGTCAGTTATCTGTTGTATGTCATATATAAACTATTTATTTTTTCAATCTTGACCAATCTTGAATAGCCTTACTAATCAGTCTTACCAATAACTGAGAATATAATTCGAATTTTAACACAGTATATTGGCATGAACAAGTATATTGATTATAAAGAATTAATAATTTTTGTGTGCGTGTGTATGTGTGTTAAACATTAAATGTAAACTGCTATATTGTTACATATATCAGTCTTGTATAATGCATCTGGACAAAATGTCACATTATTATTAATCTCTATTAAAAACAAATTAATTTAGATTAAATAAAAATGACAAAGAATAGTTACAAAAATACATGTATAAATTATTTTATAGCCTAATACATCTATTTCCTTTTAATATAAACAAATATTATCCAATTTAGTAGGAAACTGTTCCTCAAATTGGCGCAATTCAAATGAACACTGATTTCGTTCAAATTTCATGTCTATTTCATTGTACATTATACTTTGTAAACTCAATACATTGCGTATTTTGCCAAAAGCTTCGACTTTGTTAAAATGATCTCTTGCTTTAGACAACGCTTTTATGGCATTTAAGATCATTTCCTTTCGTAACTTTGTTGAAGTTGAAGTAGCAGTACCAACTAAACATTTAGCATATAAAATAAGTGCTCTCCCTTGTTCATAACATCCACCATGAGCTAAAGTATGCGTGATAGCTTCATCAACCAAATTCATTGCTAATGAAGGTAACCCCATGAGTAACTATAAAAAAGGATATAATATATGTTATGAGCGTAAACAAATATACATGTATCCTAACAAATTACATTAATCTTAATATAATTACTTGTATATTCGCGAGATGCATTTTGATAAGAGCTTCGTAAAAGGATAAATGGTTATGAGTAGCTAATTCCAATGCTTTGTTAAGAATTACTAAAGAATTAATTCCCACGGTTTCGTTTCCCGACAAGAAAGATACGCACATTATTTCACTCAGAAGAATCATAGCACGTACTCGATTTTCTGGTGTTATATTGGGGATCTTTTCAATATTGTCGATTAGATGCAAAGTATTTGGATAATCTCCTTTGGCTAAAGAAACTTCTGCTTGCCTAAAATTTCAAAAGACCAAGAATATTTTTATAATATAAAATAATTTTCTATTATTATCATATATTAACATTAGATTGCCCAAGGTAATCATTTTGACTGCTTTTTAATTTCAATTAGAAAAACAATTATATATATAATGACACAATTTCTTAGAATTTTTTTTTATTATTAATATTTACTAATAACTTGTTATATAACTGTAAATAATATAAAAGATATTAAAGATAAATTTTAAACAAATTTCAAAACACATTAATTATTCGTTCACAATGCTGTTATTTTGACTGCTTTTGGACAATATAGGTATATACTAAGTTTTGGTCTTTCTAGTGTTAAAAAAGCATATCGCATATGCATTACCTAAATTTAGATTCCAATGGATCCAAACTAGATATACGAGAAGCTATTGCATCAGCTTCACTCCACTTTTCGCGTCTCATCATTTTTGTAAATTCATATAATTGTTCGCACAACATCCACATCTGTAAATATTTTTATAGAAATTCTTCATTATAGAATATTTGAACATAAATTACTCCGATACAATTAAACTCGATTATTTTTAAACCTTATTTGATGGATGATTCGGAAATCTTTCTTTGGCATGTGCTAATACAATGTCAACAAGATCATATTCGCCAAATTCTACTAATATATTTGCAACATTTACAACTGCTTGACAAGTTGAAGTTCCATTGAATATATTTTGCTTTTTATTTCCTGCATTATGTAGAAGAAGAAGTTGTGCACAAACCGACGAAAGTTCCATCTTTCCGTAATATGCCCAGAGTGCCGATTTTTCGGAATAAGTCAATGACATTAGATCGATCATAGAATGTTGACAATTCAATACATCTGATTTCATTAATGTCTAGAACAAACATATCAACACTAAATATAAAAAATGTTTTTAATTTGACTTTGAGTTACAACACACCTCAAATATTTGCGAAGGAGGCTTAGATTCTAAAGTAGAATAATGGGAAAGAGCAATGAGCCCTAGACCCGTGGTATATGTAATTCCTAACATACTTGCTTTTCCAAGAGATCTTTCTATAAGAGGACCTCTGAAAAATTAATAAATTTGATAAAAGGAAATACATATTATAAATTAGATGCCATAAATATTAAAAACATACTTTTTTTCGCTGGTGAGATAATACATCCAAGCATGCGCTAGCTGCAAACAGACATTGTCTCCTGCTTCTTGTGCCATCATAATAGCTTCTTTCAAAGCTTCCTCGGCCACTTTCCTTCATAAGAAACACGTATTGATTATTGTCCTCTAAATAAGGATATTATATAAAACATACTTATGATTAAAATGAGCATGAAGTACTGCAAGATTTAAAGCTGCATATCTCAGCGTTCGAGACTTATCTTCGGGCGTAGAACGACTTTCTGATGGTGCTAATCTGTCGAAACAATGATAAAGGCTATCTATTGCGCTGCAGTATTCGTTTATGCGTAAGCAATTCAAATAGCTCAGATAATGCTGAAAGAAATGAATATGTGCAAAAATAATAAATATTCAATAGAATAAATTTTTATACAAGAAAATGCTTACAGCTTCCGCATAATAAGGACTAGAACGTAGAAGTTTTCTTATAAGAATTTGTAGATCAACAGGCGACATAGCTTTGTGTTCATCCATTTTTAATGCATGCGCTTGCTGTGCAACAAGTAATTCTGCTTGCCTTCCGCTCCATACAGTAGTACTTTTATTACTATCAATTTTAATACTTTAAAAGATATTTGTCATTCATCGAATAATGAATAAGTCTCAAGGAAAACTTACTTATAAATATAAGGTTCGTCCAATTTTAAACAAGACGAGATATCAGTATTCTCAGGGCTTCTAGACTTTTTCTTAACATAATTCTTAAGATCTTCATATAATAAAACCGCTTGGTCGAACGGCAACTTCTCAAAAAATATAATTATTCTTCTTACATATAATCCAAGAACAGAATTTTTATTCAATAAAGGCACTGAAATAGCATGATCTAATGTAGATTTCATTAATCTTCCAAGGCTATCAAATAAATCTAAGAATCCCTCAATGCCTTTGTCTAATAATGTATTTAATTGAAGTTCTAGCTCATGTCCAAATGAATAAATATGTTCACTGCTGTACAACATATGTAATAAAGTATACATTTCCATATCAGGTGACTAGAAAAAAGTAAATGAAAAGGAAAAAAAAGGAAAAAAAAAAAAGAAAAAAAAATAAAAGAAAGAGAAAAAGGAAAAAAGAATTTTTAATGAGATAATCTATTTACATTCATATTATTTACAATTTATTAATTGGTTAATGCTTACCTGAATCAACTTTACTGCCGCCAAACAAAAATCACGTCTCACTACGATAGCTAAAATATAATTGAAGGTATTTTACAATAATATATATTCAAAGAAATAAAATCTCATATTAATTAAAATCTCTTATGAGAATCACCTTTACGACTTTCATTACAATATTCTTTTATCAACATAACAATTGCAACTTTGTATGGGGTTAAGTTTTCCTTCTGAACTCTTTTTACATTTCCATCAATGTTTACTAATTCTTTCGACATTATTAATGTTTTCTAAGATTTATTTCATATATTTGTCAATTTATTTATACAATATAAGAATTTTTTAAAAATACCACCAGAGATCAACCATAATGTTACAAATATTTATATTCAGTCTAATGCGGCGTATTTGCCCTTGCGCGCCCCTCCGCGGGGAATATATTTACTAAACAAAAATGGCGGCAATTTTGTATAAAATACTGTATTACACAGTTACTACCTCAAAAACTATGTGTAAATCTTAGGTCTTACATATGAATTAAATTTCAAGATTGATTATCAAACGATACAAAATTAAAATTATATTAACATTATGATGCGTAATTATATATAGTATCTATTTAATTAATAATACAATAAAAAAGAACGTTATCCATTTTTCTAGAATAACATTTATTCATCATCTTGTACAACAGTAGTTTTTTCAGATACATAAAGTCCATCCAAGAACTTTCTTATATCCTTGTTTTTCACAGTGGTTGACTGCTGGATGAGTGCAGCTGAAATAATAATATGTGATTAAACATTTTTTTAATCATATGTCAAAATTTTATTTAGTATTGCAGTATTTATTGTATACCAGATCGTGAAACATCCTCTAATGAATTGCCTTCTATTATTAATTCATCCTTTTGTTTGGCAGAGTTCGTAACAGTTACACCAGCAGCCATTTTAACCCGTCGTATATACTTCTCACCCAAAAAGTTACGAATTTCAATAACTGTATTGTTCTCAGTTGTTACACAGTTGATGGGAAAATGAGCGTATACAGCACGCATCTTGTACTGATATCCTTTTGTCACTCCTTTCAACATATTTTCAATGTGAGAACAGACAGTACGAACTGCAGCTAATTCTTTCTTTGTACCAAACCATTTCTCTACTTTCAGTAACCTTGGATTAATCATCTGTAATTTTTTATAAAAAAAAAAAAAAAAAAAAAAAAAAAAAGAGAAAAAAGAAAATATAATAATACCGTATGTATATGAAATTAATTGATTATTTTTTATTATCCGTATCAGAATAAAGTTGTCATTTATAAAAAATGAAGGGGAATCCAAATATATCTCATCATATGGAAATGTATTTCTTATCAATTAATATTTCTCCTAAATACAGCATATACTTTTCGTATTATATATAATTTTCTTCATACATTATACTCTGAATAAATCATACTTACACGTATGTCAAGTGCGAGATGTTTGAAAGAACGTTTTAGGACACCCCTTGGTCCTTTGACTGTTACCAAGCGTGACTTAACTGTTACAGTCAATCCCTCAGGGATTTTGACCGTCTGATTTGTAACTATTTGCTTCATTCTGTAATGAAAAAGGAATAAAATTAGTTGTACGCTATCATTTACTCATAAATATGTATTGAGCACTCGAGATCCATCGTATTGAATTAAAACAAATCCTTAGCACAGGATAATTTTCATTTTTATGCATGTACACACAAACGTATATTTAGGGATTAATTATTTAAACAGAAAATATAGCACATATGATGTTTGGGTGCAACTAAAAACAATATAGGTTCTGTTACAATATCCATAACATTATCATATTTCGATGTAAATAATCAACTTTTAGATTCACTTATACGAGCAATTAATGAAACTCATATGTCAACGTTTGTAAACTTAAACACATGATAAAAATGTATAATATAAAAACAAACTGTCAAATATAATAGAATCACTGATACAACACGTGATAAGTTGAAAATGATGCTGAAGAGAGTTGCATAGAGTGATATAAATTAAGGTTATAAACGATCTTTATAAAAATAATAATATATCTTGAAGAAATATATGCCGTTTCGAAAATATGTTAAAGAAATATGTAAAGTATTATTAACGATAGATCATTGGGTTCAATACGTCGTCGGATTATGATAGATTTCCTAAGGTATTCGAATTTCATTACCTCACACACCGCACTATACAACCGGAAAAGAGCTCCGAGTCGCTCTTTCTTCCTCTTCGTGGCCAGTACACATTTCGTTCGTGATTTCAATAACTATCGATATTGTCACTGACGATTCATAACATATCGAAATATCGAAATATCGAAAATATCGAGTTATATTATCGTTCGTTAAAAAGCAAATTCTTTAATGAAAAGAAATATTGAACCAATTAGATATCTCTTAATTATATTCTGATTAAATGTTTTTTCCTATCATTTTACTTGAAAAAATATATTTTATTTTATTTCTTTTTCGTTTTTGTTCTTGTTTTATTTTTCATCGGTATTAATGGAATATATGTAATAAAGTGACCGATAGATAGAAAAACAGTATATAGAATAGGTCGGTATCGTAGATTTATATATAAATGGGTAACAATTTACAAACTCTAGTATTTATCATCTGAAATTTTGACATTGCGATCAAGAATCATATACGCGATCTGTGCTTTCTGTCAGTTAATGCTTTCTCTTTGTTATTAGCATTGGGCTTGTCCCGTTTATCGCAAGTCTGATTATTTCCTTGCATTTTAATGATATCGAAACAATTAAATCTTGTACGAAATTCAATAAAGTCGGCTAACGAACGGGCAATAATCTTGTAAAAGAAACATGGTAAGAGAGCATTTCAAATTGTCATTTATTATTTTGTTATTGAATGAGCTATAGACAAAATGTCGTTTATTTATTTTTATGATCTATTATATTCTTTAGGATGATGATGATCAGTTCCAACCAGGTTATGACGTTGATTCATTTCCAAAGGATTTTGGATATGCTCCCTTTGATGGAGAAGCAGAAATATCTACGGATCCTCTAGCTGGAGAACAAAAACCTAGGATACTTTTAATGGGTCTTAGAAGGTAAATATATTTTGCTATCTAGTCGAATTATCAAATATTATATATAATTAAGATTTTAATATCCCTTCATGTTAATACATATTTCATTTTCTTAAATATATTTTAGAAGTGGAAAATCATCTATACAAAAAGTAGTCTTTCACAAAATGTCACCAAATGAAACATTATTCTTGGAAAGTACAAATAAAGTTATTAAAGATGATATAAGTAATTCTAGCTTTGTTCAGTTTCAAATTTGGGATTTCCCAGGACAAATTGATTTCTTTGATCCTACTTTCGATAGCGACATGATATTTGGAGGATGTGGCGCATTGGTCTTTGTAATTGATGCACAGGATGATTATATGGAAGCTCTAAATAAACTTCATTTGACGGTTACAAAAGCATATAAAGTTAATCAAGCAATAAAATTTGAAGTTTTCATTCATAAAGTTGATGGACTATCGGATGATTGTAAAATGGAAACGCAAAGGGACATACACACAAGGGCTAATGACGATTTAGCAGATTCTGGTAAATTCTATTATTATTATTCTGATACAAGCATAAAGAAAATTCATTTAAATTAATTATAAATTTATTTTAGGATGCGATCAGATACATCTAAGTTTTCACTTGACATCTATATATGATCACAGCATATTCGAAGCTTTTAGTAAAGTTGTTCAAAAGTTAATACCACAATTACCAACATTAGAAAATTTATTGAATATTCTTATATCAGTATGTATATTAGTTTATTATTATTCCTGGATTATTCCTATTTAACATAACAAGCTGAATATTACAGAATTCTGCAATTGAGAAAGCATTTCTATTTGACGTTGTATCCAAAATTTATATAGCAACAGACAGTTCGCCCGTAGATATGCAAAGCTACGAACTTTGTTGCGATATGATAGACGTAGTGATCGATGTCTCTTGCATATATGGGTAAATAAATATATTTCATTTAAATACTTTAACAAATTTCTTTTATAACTATTATATCATAATATTTCTTTTCTTATAGACTAAGAGAAGATTTAGAGGCGGCAGCGTTTGATAATCAAAGTTCTAGTTTAATTAAATTAAATAATGGCACAATTTTGTTTCTACGAGAAGTAAATAAATTTCTAGCATTGGTTTGCATTTTAAGAGAGGATAATTTTGACAGGCAAGGTAAGAGATTATTTTCAGATATTTTTAAATAATATAAAATGTTTATAAATGAAGATTATATTTACATATTTATGAATTATGATGGAATTGCAGGTGTTATAGATTATAATTTCTTATGTTTCCGTAAAGCGATACAACAAGTATTTGAGTTGCGTAATAAAGCATTAGCTGCTACAAATGTAAATAATCACTCTGGATCGCCTGTTAGCATTAATGAATCTTCAAATTTGGCAGTAGTATCGCAAAGTGGAATGATTGGACAAAATGGTGCTGTACAACTTACACAAAGTTAACTAGATCACTTTCATTAAGAGCTTCACACATAAAACTAAAGTATAGATCTTTTAACTTTATTAATTCTATTTTAATGATCTACCATTGTATATCTTAAATCATGTATAATTTTATACAAACAGCAAAGAATATTCCACAATAATATTAGTTGAAATAGAATGTGTTTTTATTGCAATTTTATCTTCAAATATTAAAATTTTATCATTTTATATTACGTCAGGTTTTAATAAGTAATGGATACATTTTATAAAAAAACTGTAATAAAGTTAATCTCATGTATTCTACTATATATGGTGTTTTACCACTTATATACGTGTTAGAATTCGAAATCTTCTAACTCATTGAGGACCAAAATTTCTATTGCAGAAAATTCAAACCTTTATAACTTTCGAAACTAATGAAATTTGGATAAACTTATAAAGCAAAATTTAGTCCATATTTTTGTATTTCTTATTTTTGTAAAAGAGTTAAACTTTCTTTGTTTAAATATCACAAGAGACATATAAACAATTTATTTACATTTTTACATGATCAAATTGAAAAAGAAACATTTCTATATAATTATTAGATATATTAGAAGATATCGATTTATAATGTAAATGATAAAACACTTTATATATATATATATATATACACACACACACATATGATAAATAATTATTCTCTGATGCAAATATCCTAATATTAATTATAAACATAACATATATATATATATATAATATTATGTAAATTGTAAAATGTTATCGTTATATCTGTGCTTTGTATAATACAAATGAATAATATTTAATTTACAAAATCAAACATATAAAATTTTATCTAAATACCGATAATCGATTGGTCAAAATTCAAAAGTGTCGAACTGATTGGTTCTATGAAATATCGAATTATCATATGCGATTTATCGAAAATCGCATATGAAAAATACTTCATACTTATGATTCGAATTTTTATTTTTCTAACTCTACAATATATTTATAATTATATTAAATATTATAAAGGATAAATTATTTCTTAAGGAATAAGAAATAAGAAATACGTAACGCAAGTATATCAAAATCTAATTAAATTAAACAAGGTTCATTTTTATTCGATAAAACATTAAGATCAGTTGCATTAAAAGTATTAAATGTGTTATTGCTTTGTATATTATATTGTATTGACAAATGAATAGCTATATTTGTAATAAATGTTATTCTACGAAAAGCAAAAGAAAGAAAGCATTTAGAATAACTCAATGTGGGCACATATTTTGTGGCAATTGTCTAGACGAAGGTACTCATTTAAAACTTGCTATTAGAAATAAAGAATCTAATTGCAATATAAGAAAGCAACATATATGTCTTTTATCAATACGTTTACTCTAATTATAAATATATATGTATATGTATATATTAATTATGTTAATGTAGGTATGAGACCTTGCCCAAGATGTAATAATGGAGAAATTGCATCGTTGCAATTGGAAGAACCGTTATTACCTAAAATAGCATCTTTGTTCATTCCTCTAAATGAAGCTATACAACCATTACCTGAAATAGCAAATTTCCAAAGTGCACAAACTAAAATTATTCTAAGACGTTTTTATCAAATTGTATATATTACTTTTTATAAAAAACTTTATCTTCTTACTTCCGTTCTTCGTCTTATTATTATATTTAATTTTTAAGGATAGAAAATATAACTTATTGAAAGAAGAATATCATAAGCTTGCACAAAATATGCAAATAATAACTGAAAAGTATCGTAAACTTCGAGAAAATATGGAAGCAATTAATATGAAATTTGCATATCCTAGCAATGTAATTTCTAATAATCCGTCTACCTATAATCGTAGAGACATGCTTATCGATGCAAAAAGAATGCACATTGATAGGTAAATTTTAAATATAATTCATTGAATATTTTCATTGATTATTACACTTTTATGATTAAATACAAATAAACTACTATGAACTAATAAAAATGATTACTATGTATGTATATCCATTTAATTTTATAGTTTTACACCAAATTTGAGATCATGCAACAAGAGTGTAAGATTCACTCCATCAACGAATCAAAGCATATACGAGAAACTTCGTAAAGCTACAATTTCGTCAAATGGACCAACAATTCGTTATTACAATACGTGCTCAATCAATAATCGCAAGTGATTAATGAAGAAAAAAAAAATGGATTATATTTTAGTAGTAAATGTATCAAATATAAGTTAAGCTTTTTCTAATTATAAATAAATAAATAGTTTCAGAGTTATGTTTAGTTAACCTATAATTATAAGGAAAAAAATCAATGTAAAATTTTAAATAAATAAATAAATATATATATATATATATATATATATATATATGTCGAAATTATTCTATTTTTTATTATTTTATTATATAGAAATAAATAATGAATCGGAATTTATGATCCGAATTTTTCGATCAAGTTGAAAAATGAATATATAATTATACTTTGTACCGCTAGTACGTAGTGTATTCGTATCGTAATAGTAATTCATGTTCAAAGGTCGAACATTGTCTATATTAACCTTATAAAACTTATATATGAGTTAAATTCGTTTATATTTTTTTATCGTGTTGACTAATCATCCGTAATTATTTAACAAATATTTTTTTGTGTTCTCACTTTCTTTAATTGCTGTTAAGCTCTTTTAATTCACTTCCAATTTAATTTGATCACTATATCAGTGCGCACCTGTCGTTTCAGTAATAATCATTATACTTCTTATACTTTCTGCACCATGATAAACACAGGGTATGTATTATTTTTTATATATTTTTTTAATAATTTTATTAAATGCTATATAAGTGCATAGACATATAGCTAAATACGAATATTATTTAATTTGTCTTTTCTACATTTATCCTTTTTTCCCCTCTCCTTTTCTCCTTTGTATTTATAATCTGTTATAAATAATTTTATAATAATATCCTATATAAATGCAGGAAATTGGCAGGACTTACTATTTTCATAACGGGTGCATCACGAGGTATTGGAAAGAGTATTGCTTTAAAGGCAGCAAAGGACGGAGCAAATATAGTAGTTGCTGCAAAAACAGCAGAACCTCATCCAAAATTACCAGGCACTGTTTATAGTGCAGTTGCAGAAAGTGATTATATAGCAATATTAATAATATATATATAACGCATCTAAATATTCTTACATGTATATTTTTCACTTATATGCAAATTAAAATTATTATATATATTTGAAATGTTTAGTCGAAGAAGCAGGTGGTAAAGCTCTTCCTTGCATTGTCGATATCAGAGATGAAGGACAAGTGAAATCTGCTGTTGAAAATGCAATTAATAAATTTGGTGGCATTGATATCGTTGTTAACAACGCAAGTGCTATATCTTTGACAGGTACTTTGGCCACAGACATGAAAAAATATGATCTTATGAATAATATTAATGCAAGGGGTACTTTTCTTGTGTAAGTAATTAATTCGCTTTTCTACGTTAATACTTAATCAATTTTTATATAATGTCTTTATAATATAATAATGATAATGAAATTAATACAGGTCGAAGTTATGTATACCTTATCTAAAAAAGAGCGCTAATCCTCATATAGTAAACATAAGTCCACCATTGAATATGAAACCAATTTGGTTCCAAAATCATCTGGCATATACTATGGCCAAATACGGAATGTCCATATGTGTACTTGGCATGGCAGAAGAGTTTAAACAAGATGGTATTGCTGTTAATGCTGTATGGCCAAAAACTGGTATATTATAGAAATTAAATTATTTGTGCTATGATATTTCTGGGAAAAAATTGGCAATATTTTTAAATAAAATAATAATTACTGCATCGTTATTAATATTTAGCCATTCATACTGCTGCAATTGAGATGCTAACAGGGCCGAACTCTAGTAATTACAGTCGTAAAGCTGAAATTGTGGCAGACGCCGTTTATGCTTTAATTTGTAAAGATAGTAGATCTATTACCGGGCAATTTTTAATCGACGAAGATATATTAAGAAAGGAAGGCATTACTGATTTCAAAAATTACGCTTGCAATCCAGGTATTTATTATTTCTTATATCTTTTGTCATATATTTTTTTTTAAGAATAAAGAATCATTGAATAAATAAATTTTTACAGAAAATGCAAATAATTTGATGCTTGATTTTTTCCTGGATGATTATACTAATTCCAAAATCGATTTGAATACTATAAAGGATACAATTAAACAGCCATCCCAAAAATCTGCTGATTTTGGTAGTGGAAAAGTTGCAGAAATATTTTCTGTTATTAATGCTAAATTAAATGCAGATCTTGTTAGCAAAACTAATGCTCTATATCAATTTAATGTGAAAGGTAATATTGCTATTTCATTACCATTTTGTTTTTAATATTTCTATTCATCGAAATAATATTTAAACAATTATTTACATATTATGCAGGAGAAGAAGCTAGTACATGGTATTTAGATCTTAGAAATGGTAATGGTTCTACTGGAAAAGGTGAACCAAAAGATCCAGATGCAATCCTTACAATGAATTCGGAACAATTCTTTGCAATGTTCTCTGGTAATAAAAATCTTTTATATAAATATTATTCTATTTTATCTTATATTTACCTTTTGTATTCATTTGTTATTTTTAATTTAGGTAAATTAAAACCAACAACCGCATTTATGACAGGAAAGTTGAAGATCAGTGGTAATCTTCAAAAAGCTATGAAATTGGAAAAATTAATGATTAGCTTAAAAGCTAAACTTTAAGACTGACATTTTATTTAATTTTATATAATTTCTTCAACGTATTACGAATATACAAATTGAAATGAATCGATTGTTATATACTTTTTTAATATATACTGAACTTTAAACAAAATTATATTCTTTGTTATACGAAGAGAGAGAGAGAGAGAGAGAGAGAGAGAGAGAGAGAGAGAGAGAGAGAGAGAGAGAGAGAGAGAGAGAGAGAGAGAGAGAGAGAGAGAGAGAGAGAGAGAGAGAAGAGAGAGAGAGAGAGAGAGAGAGAAAGGGTTATATATATATACATATGTATGTGTGTATGTTAATTAAATTTTCATATATATTTTATATACTTGCATGTGCATTATTACTCCAGTAAAATATTATACATGTATTCCAAAAGTAAGAAGTACAATACAATTATTTATTATAAATTAGCAAAATCACTAACATCATAAATCCGAGTTTGATGAATATTAACTTGTTAAATGGGGAAATTTTCGATCGAACAAATATAAGTAAGTATAGATGAAGACAGAATGCTTTCTTAAAAGAAATGAGAAGTGCAAATGATTTATTTATTCTTTAGTTATGTGAAGTGAATTAAATCTTCGTAACAAATTAATCCGACTTCCTCAATTATCAGGTTAATATGTTTCCAATCATATTACATATTTATTTAAAACACGATTCTTTCATATTACATACACTTTACTTTACTAATGAAAGGAACAATTCGTGTCTTGTAAAAAAGAAAATATAAAACACATATCACATATCAGAGGATTACTTCAAAGTTTGTTTTAGGAACGTTGTAGCTTTCCTTTATTATTCAGTGTCATTACTTTCCTTTGTAGTAAAATAGTGACTTTGCAAATCTTTAAGATTATTTTCTAGAGTAGCTGCTATATCATATTTACCATCTGCTTCAGCTTGTATTATAAATGCTTTTAAATTACTCATTTGTTCAATGAATGGATCCATAGAATAAGACATCATAGGAGTGTTATTAGATGGACTCCAACCTTCTTCCAAAACCATTTGTTGCTTTAAAAATAGACGTTCTATTATGAAAAAATTCAACAAAATTTTATACCATTAAATATTATAAAAATCTTACTTGGCATTCTTTTACAAGTGAATCACTTTCCAAACTACGCGTGTCTGTCTTATAATGTTCATTCGATTTCCATTTCTGTTTTTGTAATCTCTGTTCATAGTTAGCCTTACGTTCTATTCGTTTTTGACGTTCTTCTTGTAATGCGGTATATTCTTCTATCGAAGGCAACGATTGTATCGATAGTAACTGTTCTTTTAAAAATATCATTGCACTCGCCCTAACCATTTGATGCAATCTAAGTTCTTGCCCTTGAGGCGAATTTTCCACATCTCTTGTACCAAGAACTAAAATTGTTTTACTAATTGTATCTATATTCTCGCCTAATTTTGCAATCTTAAGACGTAATGTTTGAGCATCTTGTAAATCATAAGTAGACTCTCCTTCTCTAAATACAGATTATAAGTTTAGACAATATTATTAAATACATAGAAATATTGAAATAATAACTAATAGATAAATGAAATAAAATACCTCAAAGATTCGCTCATTTTATTATACATTGCTAGTATCTGTATAGTTTCTTCCATGTGTGATTTCATTTTTTGATAAAATTGACATACTATTGGTTTATGAAATTGTTTTTCTTTCTGCCTTTCTTTAGCATCAAGTACATTCATACAATGCGTACAGATCTTGAAGTGATGTTCTGTATTAGAATCATTGATTAAAGCTAAAACACTATTCAAGCTACCGCTTGATGGGGATCTTGCCAATTTCGTAAGTCCCATATCTGCGCTTAATACACGTTCTGATAAATCTTTTTGAGAGGATGTTGGAGGAACAGCAGAATCACCTTGTATAGAAACAGGGCTTGTCATTTTTCCTAAAAAATATTGTTTTATATCCAGCATCTATAGTAAGAACTATACAATTCAAGTTGGCAAAATCACAATTTGATTTTGCTATTAATACCTACGAGCATCTAATAGTGACAAATAAAAAGTACAATTATGACACATGATAGCTCCGCAAAGTCTACAATGGTGTTTTCTTCTAGCAACATGAAATTTTTTAGCACAGGTAGGACACAAATTGACAACTGTCTCATCTATCCATGGCACTATACATTGCTCGTGTCCTGTTTTGTAATAATCAATTTTACGAATGCATTAGTACATTGAATATCAAAAACATTAAATATGTTTTAAACATTATTCGCATACTTTTTCTATCGACTGGATCAGATGGCAAGTTATTTAATAGTTTATTCAATCTTATTTTTAATTTGTTTGTTTCTGATTCATAACGTTCTAATCTCTTGAATCTTATTTCTTTGAAATATATTGTGTGCGATTTAATTACACCTATAAATATATCATAATTAAAAATTAAGGTAGATAAAATAAATTGCAATATTATATGCAATATTATATGTAACCACCTGGTTCTTGTTGTTCCCTACTGATTTCTAACTTTTGTTTTTCATTTGTTGTACAAGAAAAATCTTCTGGTATTTCATCTTGTTTTAAAATTTTCTTCTTAGCCTTGTCAATTAAATCTAGAAAAAGATTTAAAAGAAATTGTCAAATCAGAAAAGTATTTAAAAGAAATTGTCAAATCAGTTTATAATAATATCAATAATACGTGTATTATATATAAAGAAAAACATATAAAATTGATCTATACCTTTAAAAGATTTAAGAAACTCTGAATTATCATTATGAAATTCTTCAAAGTGTCTATGTAAATCATCTGGTGCTTTAAATTCGGTCATGCACATAGGACATATAAATCCTTCTAACACTGGTATATTTTCAGCCATGTTTAAACAAAAAAAATATTTATCTGATACAAATAGGGGCCTTGTTTTCGATAAAAAATATTATTAAAACGTTCAATTGTAGGCGGTTCTACACTTTATCGAAAGAAAACACATGTATATGCTATGAACAGCCATATTGATTTAATCCATTAATAGAAATGTCAAAAGTACAGTACTTCGATACAATTCATTAATTTACTCTAATAATTATATAAGTATATATAATTCATAATTATTAAATAATTTCAATAATTTATAAGTTAATAATTTACAGTTTATTTCTAATTTTCAATTAATCGAAAATAAATATAACCTATATATATTGACGTAATTTTTGTCCACATTTAACGTTCCAGTCTATAATTGATAGCCAATGAGAAAAGCAACATACTACACTTTAAAGAAAAAGCTTAAATTTATTGTTTGAATAGATAATAAAATAGATTTTCATTATTTTTATTAATTAATATATAATACATAGAATCTTTCTTAGAATAAGAATTATTTTTAATAATTATAATTATTTAATCTATGTAACAGAATATTTCGCAACAATACACATATTTTCCAACGAAACATCCGATGAAATGTAACGAAATAAAGAACCTTCAAAACCAATGTTTCTTAAATATTCTAAACGTCCCCAATTCAATAATGTTTTAACTTTATTACCAATTAATTCTCGTTCCATAGAACGCACGTTTTGTTTGCTGAATCTACAATAAATAATAGAAATTAAAGAAATATGTTAAAAGAAAATTTGTAGGAGAGAGAGAGAGAGAGAGAGAGAAAGAGATAGAAAAAAAACATATGTCAAGCATACCTTACTTTTTTATTTTCATCTTTTAATTCAGTATCAGCTTTTAAATTAAACCCACAAGTCGCCCAACTAGCTATGCTACATAAAATTGGAAATTCTTTTGGAAGAAATTTACATTGTTCTAAATATTCTTTACCAATATAGGATTTATATTCGCATTTATGATGACAGCAGAAAGCTATGACTAATCCATAATTACTGCCGCTAGATTTATTATCTATTGCTCGTATCAAACATCGTATAGCAAGATCTAAAAAGTTAAAAATTGTATTAATGTTGAAGATATAAAATATATCATTAATCTGTACCTGTTGCAGTACCACATAGATGTTTTGCAATCCCAACTTTATTAAGAAAATTTTGGATTTCTGCAATGTTACTAAGTTGTAAATCTGCTATATCAGCACGTATCCGTCTTACATAAATATTATGTTGCTCTTTTTTAAGTTTATTATCATTTTTATGTCTATGACTAGAACGATCCACTAATAATATACAAGAGTCTTGTTTTTCTTTTGCCATTTGTGCCAACCAATAAGTTAGATTACCTATAGATAAAATTATGTTTACTTTCTTTATTATTGATTCTATTTTAAAAAATATACATTTTATATTATACCTTTTCCAGCTCCAAACTCAATGTAACAAGTATTATTTTTAACAAGTTCAGCTTTTTCTAAATGTGCTAGCAATGACGAATTTTGTGTCAAGTGTTTTTTAGCATATTTACCACAAGATGAAATAGTTAATGCATCTTTTAATATATCATGGTGTAATATTGCTTTGGAAATTTCTGGTAGCTTTTCTACAAAGAAATTAAGTTTTATAATGTAATATTACATTCGATATACAACACATTTATAAATTATATACCATAAGCTTCATCAATTCTTTTTATTATCGCATCTACAACGGAAAAATCGAGTTGTGACAAAGGAAGAAGACGTGGTATTTCTTCAGTTTCTTCATCTAAATTAACATTTTGGACTATATATGTTGGTCGAGCGTCCAACATCTTTTGGACATTGCATATTGTCAAATGTTTAGATAACTTTGACTCATAACATGTACTGAAAGTATAAACTATAAGTTTTTACATTTAAGAGAACTTTTATATAGAAATAAATTATTTCACATCATTGTCGATGACATTACATCAATGGAAACGTACTGAGTAGGATCAAGAGGACATTTTATCCTTTTGTTAATTTTTTCAGTATTTTCTACGTCGTTAGAATTCAATGAATCCTGTTGATGTTCTCCACAAAATTTGTTACCTCTTTTAACGGTCATACGACAATATCGATTTTTTCGTTTCACAAAGTACATACAGCACTTCGGCGGTTCTTCTTCCATGATAATTTGTTTAATCTTTTATATATATATTTTTTTTTCCAAAATATTCAACAATTGACGTACAGTAGGTTATACTATAGGTTATGACAGTGAAGTAAATATAACTTATTATTATGATTCCTTACAATAAGAGATATTTATATCGGAATAAAATCAGACTGGAATAATATCGTCTTTAGATGACCTTAATATTTCTTATTTATTTTTTATAAAAAACGAAAAAAGAATTAGAAATCATTGGTACGATGTTCGATTACTTGTGTTCAGTTTAAATGATTTAAAATTTGACGCCAATAATGATGTTCTATCGTAGCGCCATCTCTAGCGGGAGAAATTAATGGTTATTTAAAGTAGGGAAAAAAGATGGAAGGATCGTTGCATTTCGTACTATTGTAAAGAATAAATAATATTGATTTAAGTTTCTTTTTTTTTAAAGCTCAATGAAACTCGCATGGAGTCCATACTCGAGGTGGTATTAATAAGAAAACAGAATTTTTTTTTCGAGAAACAGGTATTTAATTATTTCAAGAAAAATATAGAGGAAGAAAACGTTCTTAACCAAACGTTTTGAATGTATGAACGGTTCTTCGAATAATGTTCACCAAAAACAACTTACGATCTTATCTATCGCCAATCACAATCATTTTGAATTAGTGCCGTTTCGAGAGTTGTAGATTTCTTTGAAAGATCGTTTACTTTCGTATAGCAAACGTGTTACAGCTACATCCCCTCGTTAAAGTTAATACATATTGTTAATCTTTCTACGTGCCGAAGTATATTTACTTCATACCTATCAAGGTATATCCTGAAAAAGGATTGTACATTTGAATATGCCAAATATAAAAGGCGATTAGCTACGTGATAAGCTATATTCGTATGTATCTATATTCGGTAATTCGGTAGATATATTCGATAGGTATGTATGTTCCAAATGGCAAATCGTGGGCCGATATTTGTTCTTTGCTAAAACGACTCGTTGTCATATTATATAATATAATATTATCAACAATTTTTCTATTAGAAAAGAAATTGCGAAAGTAATGTGCATGTTTTTTTTTTTTTTTCCAAATAGACACCCTTTCCAACTTCACAAATCCAAGTTCATAAAGATGCGGAAACTTCTTGTTCCATATCGCTCAACGTATTATACAATCGTGTTTTTAAATTGTTCGGTACATATGCTCGTGGCAAATGGGTAACATCACCGGCTGGATTGGCGCACTGTCGCAAAAGGACAGCGAGCGAACTAGTGGTATGTTCTGACATCAATAAACCAGGTAGAATGATAGTTCCTGATAAAGTCCAGCCAAGAAAGATTTTCTCGCATATAATCTAAAAGAAATGTAACACACGTAATAAACGTACAATTCAAATATCTATCGGTTTGATAGATTCACCGAAAAATATCAAAATAGTATGATTACCTGTAGGTTATTATTAACGACCGGCGATTCACATCGTTTGTTTTTCGAACATAACGATCTACAATCAAAAAAATCACAATCCTCGTGTCTCTTACAGGTCTTCCCGTCCCCGGTGATACGTCCGATAATGCTTTTAGGAAAGACCGCGTCCAAGTCGAGAAATTTAAGTTTTTGCCCGCCGAGAGGCAAACCAAAATGGTTTATCTTGACGTCGCAGAGATGAAACGGTTCCGGAAAATTTGTCTCAAGTTCCTCTAGCAGATCCATAATCATGACGGCGAGCTTCAATCTCTTTGCCCATTCTGGCTTCGAGTCGGAGAGTGCCAATGCCGTCGTTGGTGTTTCTATAGGTCTGACGTTAGCGATCTAACCTCAGTCTCGCGTCTTTTAATGTCTAAACGATCAGAAAAATGTCATTAATGCCATCCGAAATTGATATGATAATTCGTGATTATGTACACATGAGTGTACGTGGTAGGTGTACATACGAGAAGACACTGAATGTTTGTTGTTTCGAAAATCGTCCTACTGAATTACCATGTCACTTTGGTCGGTATCAATGACGCGGTCTGATCGTAAATGACACAACGTTTTTCTATAAATCATCATATTATTGTATAGACTACGGATATACATCTTCAACTTTCACTCAAGCATATCATATTACTTTGGACTTCGATCACAAATCTTGGATTTGCATTTTATAATGCAATGTCAATGAATATTGCAGTAAAGAGCGAGACAAAAAAAAAGAAAAGTAACGGTTTATCATGTTAACGGTACGAAATTTCACATTGATTAATCCGACGATATACGCGTCAAGTTTGGACGTGATAAGGTTTCACATGCGTCATATTTCGTGTTCTGGTAGTAACGGTGCGCGATTGATCCTAAAGAATCTCTACATATACGCATACAATGTATTAGAAATTATTTCAAAATTATAAGATATATCGTCCAACATTTCTTTTTTAACTTAGCTAGATTAACTCTTTAGATTATTCTCATTAATAAATCCTACCTGACGTATTCAACGGCATAGAAAGTCCCGCAAGTGCCTATCAGTTGTGGGAAAACGTCACGATCTTCGAATAAAATAGTTATGAGATATTCGTTTTCCTGTAAAAGTGGCCAAACGTTTTCCATCTCGAGATGACGCCTTTTGGTGTCAACCTCGATTTTATGGGTACGTAAACGAGCAAGCCTTTGCATCTGTTGCGTCGATACCGTGTAATTTAACTTATTTACTGCCAGATCCTTGATCATAGTTCCGAAATCTTCTTCTGTGGGAAAATGCTTCACATCGAATGCGTCGACCCAGAAAAGAGATTCGTACTCTTCCGTGTTAGATTTTGTTCTGCAAATGATTATTATGTAGAAAAATACAGAAGAATATTTTTGAGAATAAAGTATTTATATATCATGTACGTGTCCAATGAGAAGCAATAAATAAGGAAGTATAATGGATATGCTAACGGCAATGCTACTATTAATTTAATTGTTATATTATTGTATTGTGCGATCTACGATATTTCTATATAATATGTACGAACATTTAACATGACACAAAAAAAAGAAACAAAAAGAAAAACAAAAAACGCAAAGATGAAAATGAAAAGAAAAAAAGAAAGAAATTGAACTCTCCGCGCGTACTATATTGCTTCTCGCTCAACTCATACACATTGAGCGTTATACATATCGAGCGTTGCGATCAACCTGTAAGCTTTAAATACAAGTCTAGTCGCTTCCCAGTGAGCAGAAAATACTGCTTCCTTGCCGGTATGCAAAGTTTCACAGGCCAAAGAATGTATACCCTTCTCCGTGCAAAGTGGTTCGCACAAAATACCCATTGCCGTGCCATCGTTGTGATTTCTGCACTGTAAATCATACTGACATTTTCCCTTTTCTATTTTCTTTTCTTTTTGTTTTTTTTTCCGTGCATCACGTAAACCTCATTACGCAAGACTCTTCCTCTTTAATATCATATCGTAGCATTTAATTAATTCGTAACTAGCACGATTACAATGCATAAAATTATGACGTCGTCGCAACAAAATGACAGGAAAAAATAAAAAGAAAAAAACATTGTCGAAATTTATTTGATATAAATAAATATGGATATTTCACGATTTTGTCGTTAGTAATTTTACTAATCCGATTTAAATGTTTCACCGTTGACGCGTTGAAGGTATACCATATATACTTATTTTCAATCTATTGACAATTTTGTTAAATTAACGAACAGTCTATGAACAATAAATTTTTCTAATCATTTTTCTATCTACGAAACAACGTCTTTGGCATGCGGTATCAATGTTCCCATGTTGTTACCCGAAGACCTCGAGTCGCGTTTCATTTTGTCAACACCGACAAAGTTCAAATGTTTTTTTTTTTCGTTTTATTTTTTTTTCATTTTTCATCGAGGATGCGTGTCAGCTCGATCGATTTACAATCATTTCTTATAAATTGAATTGATTGTTATCGTCATCTAAGTCTACCTATAAATTGTAATACGTATTTTACAAAAGGAATACATCAGAGTAATAATTAACGTGAAATGAAATAGTAAAACGATTCGACGACGAATGATTTCGGTGTGTCATTCGTTGAAACGCGCGATAAAATTGAAGGTCATCCTCCCTTCATCCCCCATATAAGTTTCGCTTCTGCGAAAGTGAAAATTTGGAAAGAGCGCGTGCGTATCGTTCTGCCCTTCTTCGTCTTTCGCGCATAGTCTGTTCTTTCGATCCGTGTATGTGCTCTTGCATCCGTTCTCGAAATTCGCGCTAATCCAGATTCTCCTCTATCTACGTGCGCAAAAATACAACGAACAAGTACACACGTATGTACACACATAAGACGAAGGAGACACAAGCACGTACAACTTATTGTCGGATGACAGTTAAGATCAAACGCGTTTCTCATCATCTCATTCTCGTTTTCGAAAGATATATTTTTTCACATATTTCTGGAAAGAGGGAACAACTTACCGCGCTGATAACGTGTCGCCAAGCTTCCAGGTTCGTGCACATAATACCCCAGTGAAAGAGAAGATAGATGACAAACAGGAAAGCCGATACGAGGAGACCACCGAGCATCTTGTAGTGATAAAAGAAACTGGGCAATCGCCGAATATTCATTGTGAATCGTTCCTTTTTCTCTTCCCTTATTATTTATTATTAACAAGAACGAATGAACGACGGTGGTGGTAATTGGTTCGGCGAGACCTTCGTGAGGAAGACACCTAGTTTTTCGCTGTACACGAAGCTTTTCAAGCGCTATCGCTGTCCTCGTTGTCGTCTCTGTCGGCATTTCTCATGTCGAATTCGCGACGTCAATGATCCTTTCCTAACTGCCAGTGGTAGCGCGCGCGTGTTTTCTTGCACGCACGAATTTACCCCCTTCCGTATAATAGAGCGTGGGAGAATTAGAAAAAGAGAGAAAGAGCGAGTGAGCGAAAGAGAAAGAGAGAGAGAGAGAGAGAGAGAGAGAGAGAGAAAGAGTGAGAAAGGGAGAAAGAAAGAGGGAGAGAGAGAGAGAGAACGCTACTCGTGGCAATGCGGCATATTCTGCGACATGAATCCCTCCGTGTCGTACCGCGCAACACGGCGGGATGTACTGTCTAAAGCGCCTCTCGTGGCGTACTGAGGGTACCGATGTCACCTACCGATTGGCCCGTTCGTTTCAGGTCCGTACATCCCCTATCACGTTACCCCTCTTATTCATCGTTTAATCATAACTCTTTTATAATTTGTGTTTAATTTTCAACGACTTGAGTTTTCTCCGTCGAAATAATTATAACCGATTGAAAGTTATCGTCGATAACGCTTAATCGTATTATACCGAAAATAAAAGCGATTCGTTCGTATCGGTCATGCGACCGATCGACTAGTCGCTCCCCTCGTTCGATATCAGTCGATAAGTGGGAACGCAAATGCGTGACTCCTTAAAACTCTCGAAGCTTACCAACTTCCCCGTTCTTCCTTTGTAATAGAATCGTATGTAATCGCATTGGATCGATAAAGTACTTAGCGCGGGAAAATGCGCCGGATTTGAAATCCCGCGCCGCGAATCTCTTTCTCTCTCTTTCTCTTTCTCAAGAGAGGACGCACTTGCGAAGCAACGTCACGCGCAGCTGCGACCTTCGTCGCCCTTGTCCCACCGGTTGTGCCACGAGAGACTCATCTTCATCATTTTCACGACCGACGCACTTTAACGTGGTGCTGCTGCAACGTTTTTCCTATTTCTCTCTCCCTTTCTCTCTCTCCTCTCTCTCTCTCTCTCTTTCTCTTTCTTTCTTTATCTCTCTCTTTTTCTCTTTACCTTTATGCACGCTTTTTTCTCATTTTTGTTCTCTCTTTCTCTCTCTCTCTCTCTCTTTCCCTCTCTCTCTCTCTCTCTCTCTCTTTTTCTCTCTTTATCTGATACAAACATGCGCGAATGCATATTTAATTGATAGAAAAAAAAATACTAAATTGATCTTCAGAAAAATAAAAGAAAATTTGATAAGATAAAGGAAGAAAAGGATAATCATTCGTGTAAGAATAGTATTAGAAAAGAAAGAGGAAAAGAAAAAAGAGAAGAGTGAGTTACAGTGTGGTGCGGTGCGGTGCGTTTCAGTGCGGTGAGTTTAAGTGCGGTATAGTGGCGCGCGACATAAACTGCGCCGTGCGTGCGGCGCTTTGCGTAGATAGATAACTTAGTGCGGTGCAGTAATTCGAATTATACTAAACGTCTTAGCGATTCGAATCGTCGAGAGAAAAGGGATATATATTTACGGGCATTGTGGTCTAATAATCGGTGAGTTATACTGTCTCATATTTCTTCGTTGTTTTTACCTTTGACCTTCTCGGGTGACCTTTTCAATGGATTTCGCCTACTATGTGCTATGCGTCGGGGTGTCAAAGGAATCGATATCTATCTTTTTTCTTTTTTCATTTTACATTTTTCAACGCACGTTGCTTGCATTCTTCGTAAATAGAAAAAAAAGTCAGTGTGAATAATGAAAGATCGATTTCAATCGATTTTGTTTCTCTCTCTCTCTCTCTCTCTCTCTCTTTTTCTCTTTCTCTCTTTCTATTATTACTTCGACAATATTCGACTTTCAAATAGTTTGTTTAGGTAGGGTTCGTCGTTGTAGCATTGAATAAAATAAAATAAAAAGGAAGGACCTTATTTGAAATCACGCGCGCATTTCAAACTTTCAACTTGTCGCGAATTCTTGACTTTGCGCCATTCATATAGGCTATTTCTGAGTTATTCCAATTATGATCGCAGGTATTCCGCGCAGAAAAGAATATGATCTAATAAAAGTTTATTGGAAATATTGTGTTTCTCTTGTTTTCTTTTATGAACATTCGGACACTAAAATACGTTTTCTCCCTAAAGATATAACGATTGATAATATAGTAGAGATTGTCGAGTATGAAACGTATTAGTGACGTCATACAATTGTCATTTAATTTAATTGTCACTTGATATTTCTTGTGTATTAATATTTCATTCATATCTTTTATCAATCAAAGTCTCTTAGAATACACTTAGAATTTAGTTTAAATTGCTTCTCTGATCAACGTGTCCAATTCTGCGTGTTAACTCGGCAGCTGATATCCATCGAAAAGCATGTGCGGACGGTCGTAAAAAAAAAAGAAAAAAAAAAAAAAAGAAAAAAAGAAAATAAAAAAGAAAGAAAAATAAATGTCGGCTCGTGACAGTGAAGCTTATACGAGATATTCGAGCAGAACAATGACTCGTTAACGTTAATTGTGAATTATGGCCAATCGCCACGAGCATATCCGTACTCGAATAGAGTCGTGTGTCAGTGCTCCTTGCAAACTTCATGCTTTCGTTATCGTTAAGGATAGAGAAGAAGAAAGTAGTGCCGAAATGGAAGAAAATATCTGCGCGACGTGACATTTCGACGTTCGACGTCAAGAAAGTGTCCGATCCATTTTCTCCCACTCCCTTTTTGTTTTTCTCTATTTTTGGTTCCAGCGTCTTTAAGAAGAACCGCTCATCTCAAGAGATAGACGTCTCCGCAGATTCGCCGACTCCGGCCGAGTGAGTGCAAGCGGTTATCAGTCGCGAGGCTTACGTGCGGTTGCTATGCGATATGGAAGGGGCTCTCGAGTCACCTACTAGTTCGACCAGTCAGAAGTCAGTGTGTGTGAACCGGCCGGTCGCGCTGGCCCCTTCTGCTTTCGTTCGCGGACGTTACGTGCCCCGAAAACCGCAGTACTCGTTTATATTTTTCTTTTTCATTTAGCCGATCTTTCGCGATTTGATTGATCGATTACCTTCCTCACATCAATCCGATCATTGAAAGTTAAATTCATTGCTTTTCGTTTATTTCTGACGGTGGTCCAGACGCAGCATCTTATCATCATTATCTTCCGAGGAATCCGAAATCTTTAAAAGCCTTCACGGTTGCGTCAGGGTTGCATCAGGATTACGTCGGGGTTGTTCGTCCGATCGCTTAAAAAAAGAAAGAAAGGAAAAAAAAGGAAGAAAAGCACGGAATTGAAAATGAATCGATTACGATCGAGCGAGAAAGCGATAGAATTGTTGTTGTCGATTTCGAAGGATTGATCGGACCATTGCATGCCAACGAACGGTTGACGGCCATACCGGTGTAAAACCTTAACGATCGAGAGCGAAACGTGGCGCGATCCGGATCAAATGACAAATACGAGATGATCTATCGCCAATTTCACTTTTTCTAAATCTTTGCTTTTTCCTTTTTTTCCTTCTACTTCTTTTTTTTTTTTTTTTTACAATCCCCCATTCTGGTAACTCTAATCGTCAGTACATTTTTTTTTGCGAAGTTTATCGGTCACTCGAGATCGTCGTGTGGATTGACACATACGGAGATTGCTCTCTCTCGATCGTCGATCGTTAACGAATCTAATATAAACTGGCCGAGCTTATATTTTTGTCGAAACTTGAGAAGAACATTTTTCGGCTATGAAATAGGATCGTCAAATTATAAAAGATTCGAAAACCATTAGATGCGAGAAAAAGATAGCAAAGTAGATCCTTGAATTTGGATCCGATCGATATTATCTAGGAAGAAGGATCAAAAAGAAAGAGAGGAGAAGAAAAAAATAAAATAAAATAAAAAGGAAAATGATCGTCGCGCCAACAATGGAAGAAAATTCAGGGATCTTTGAGTCGGGAAAATTGAACACCGGTCGATTGAACGGACATAGTATCACGGTAATTCAGCAATACAGAACCTACATACATCTTTTTCTTATTCTTCTTCTTTCTGTTTCTTTGAGGCAGCACTGTGTATGCGATCGTGTTTCTAAATATACACCGATGAAAGTTCGAAGTCTCGGTTGCGGGAAATAGAAAGGTGGAGGAGGGGGTTCACCGGGGAGGAGGAGGAGAAAGAGAAGGAGGTGCAGTAAAAATGCGTCGCGACATTTTTTTCTGATTGAAAGATTCATTCAAAATAGGAAAATGTACTTTTCGCGTCAAGGTATGCGCACGAATAAATCTTGTTCGGCTTCTCCTTTCTAACTCTTTCCTAGCGTGGGCGTCTTTGCGATAGGTTATTCGCTTCTTGATTCCTGACGCGCCCTATGAATGAATATAACGTTTCACCGTGAACCGAAGGTCGTGTCGATGACGATGCACTCGTTCCGCCGACGATAGTGCGTTTTTGCGGGATGCCTTGACACCGAAAACGATCTCTGTCTCGTTTGCTCTTTACCCTCGCTCCGTATCTCTCTCTCTCTCTCTCTCTCTCTCTCTCTCTCTCTCTCTCTCTCTTTCTCTCTCTTTTTCTTTCTTTCTTTCTCTGTTTTTCGCCAAGACATCGTCGGGATTTTGTTTACACTATATTTTCCGCTTTTCCGTCACGTATTTGTAATTTTATTTATATTCCTGTATCTTACTAGTCGTAACGAAGAGTTGTAAATCTCGTCGCTCTTTTCATTCTCCTCCCGTCGACTTCTCGCACTCCGAGCCGAAGAGCGAATCTATTTGCGTCTCAGCGAACGAGAAGGAGTAGGAAAGATCTCGAGACCGTCTCCTACCCTTCGCTCTTCTCTCTTCTTTCTCTTTTTCAGACTGTACACGGCACGGTGCCATTGCATTCGACAGGTGCTCCTCTTCCTCTATCGATCGAAAGGGCAAATCATTTATAGAAAATAACTATATCTAGATGCATACAAATACGTTGCTTAAATATTCGCGACTCTCATTTCGGTTTTTTTCCTTTTTGCGTAACGACATTGTCGTTACTGCAACATGCGGGTGAAGAGCATGTCTTGCGCGCTACAATCTTAATTTTTATTACTATTTAACGTTCTCAATTTACTCTCAACGTTGCATTGAATGCGAGTTAATTAAAGATGCGGTATAATAATTAGTACGCGATTGAATTTCATTTAATGATACTTGACATTGACAATCATCAGGCACGATATTTAATCTCTTTTTGTTGATTCTGATACGTTTTAAAAGTAACTATAGGCAAAAGTTTCTCTTTCCAAACAAAATTATTACGTGTTTTTACTTTGTTGTGTTTACTTTGGTATTATATCGAATCCCCATTCATGCCACGATAACTTCATTTAAAAAAGCGGAATAGAAAGTCTTTGAAACCGTTGACGTTTGTGAATTTGCGCAGGAGATCTTTCTTCGTCGGCATTACTATTTCCAACGACGAAGAACAATTCGTCGATAAGATTTAAACACAGCGTTCACCCTTCAAGTTCCTCTGGTGCATGATTTTATCTTATCCAGCCTCTTCTCCGAGCTCGACTCTTCTTAAATACTTTGCGATGTTTTCTTTCTCTCTTTTTATTTTGCCTTGTAGTAGTGTTTCTCGGTGAAGCGTTAATAGCCCTGATAACCTCACGTATTGTCCGATTGCTTGGGCTAACAATCGCGCGCATTATTAGTAACGTCTCGTGATTCGTTCGCATTCGAATCGCGAGACCGCCTTGCTTTCCGTTCTCGACGGAAAAATCTATCATTTCGTTCGGAATGATAGATAGCCCGCGTGCTCCTGCCTTTCTGCATAATATTAATTTCGTCAAATTGATGATCGTGCGTGCGTTCGTTTGTATTTAAGCGAGTTTCGGCATATACGCGGAGTTTTTCTCATGCGAATTTCTATTCGCCTTGAATCTTCATTAAGTACTCATGCGTCGAATGAAATGCACGTACACTTTGGCACGTACACGTTGGCTAAGCCAATACTCGTCGAGTTTTTCATGTACTCGCTGGACCAGCATAGCTTTGCATCCCTATGTCGTGTGCGCGTGTGTGTGCGCGTTTGTGTATATATATATAAGTACTTGTGTTTACTTAATGAATCAAGGCCAGAGAAATATCGAGAAAGTCACTTTGATATCCGAAAAATGTATAGAGAGATTGTAATGCCTTTCCTGGCTGACGATGAACCGATAATCACAATGAGACGACGATCTTATTATCGAAGATAAATAAACAAGTTCAAGGTTCATTTGAGAATTTCAAATCGATGATATTAATGAAAGAAAAGGAAAATTATAAAGAATGCTAGAGAGATATATAGAGAAATCGATCGACATTTAATCATAAAGTTGCTCCTCGAACGGTCGATAATAACCGACGATGAAAAATCTCCTCGCGCGCGCGCGTGCGCGTTCATGATGACGATAATAAAACAACTAATTATAGTATCTCGAAGGATGCCCGATAATCATGGTTCCATTGTCCGATAAAATAAATAGGTATATTAAATAAGACAATAAAAAGAAATAAGAGAAGTGTCAAAGGAGAACTATCGGACTCGTATAAATATATTTAATCTTTTAGCAATAAAAAATAATAATAACAATAATCAGAAATGAAGTTTAGGTCGAAAGGCCAAGGCAAAGAATTTAACAGGAACTTTGATTACGATCCCAACGATGTTCTCGATCATATACATACACACGTAGACATTATAAGCGAGTTCAGAAATAACCTCTACCTTGTCGGTGACCGCTACTAAGATAATACAACAGCGTCCGCACACACCGTGTCTATCAGTAATAGCCTATGCACCTCAAACGATTAACGATTGCTTCCCAACTAACCCGGCCCGAAATTCTCTAATACGTAGAAATAAATCTTTTATTTTTTCCTATAAGAGGAACGAAAAGGAAAAAGAAATATGAATGGTCGGTCCTGAGGGTAATGGTAACAGTGACATTTGTTTAGCCATTTAATTGTAACGAATAGACGACGATCATCAAGAATCGAGATTGTCTCATAGAGATTTTATATTATATATTATATCTTATATATTATATTATGTATATTTTACGTAATATTTTGTTTACAACATTGCACGATGGTTTACCGATAAGTCGCAGTACGAAATACGAGAGAGGGAAAGAGTAGATTTTCTATTCGCATTAGATGTCGGTTAAAGTCCTGTCCGATTAGAAAAATCAAACATGCTGATCGCAAATCGATGTAATGAGATTTTTATAATGATGAAAAATTGCAAATATTTTGTTTGAGTAAAATTCCGTTTACTTGAAAACAAATCGTTGGTATTTAAGGCAGGCCAGACGACGTACTTGTTGAAAGTACGAATCACGTGTCCAGTATGTAGGCGTACTTGACTACGAGCCAGTCGTATTTATACCGCTCCACTTTTCTCGCGGTCGATGTATACATGTATTAAAAAGATTCCGCCTCTTTCTCTCTCTCTATTGCATGCGCGTGCTCTAAAGCTTTGCTTCGCTTTGCTTTTTCGAAAAGAAGATCGAAAAAACGAAAGAAAGAAAATCATGTGTGCGAGCGTGATCGAGATACGATACTCGATGAGGCTTACGTAGGATGAATTGTATAGCAAAATCGAAGCTGTTATTTTTAGAGCTTACTTACATTTTAGGTTGCTTTTGACGGGATAATTTCAAATTTCAGATCAATACGGGGAATCGCGAACCAAAGGAATTGGACAGTCCGAGTTCGAGTTCGAGTTCGGATTTTCGACTGGACTCGGACGCGAGCTCGGTAACAGGCTCATCCTCGAATCTCGATAGGAGATTATCGTCGGACGGTAAGACGGAGAAGACGGTATCGAAGATGAGCAGCACAAACTCAGCCGGTACCGAATATGGACGAGGACGAGGACACGGTCACACCGATAATTCATGCGGCTTGGTGGGTTCTCTCTTTTCCGGTGGTTGTCGCGGACGAGCGGAAGCCTTTGCTCGACGTCTTCATCGACGGCTTACATCATTGGGTAACGCGGATGATTCTTCGCGCGGTATCTCGTCGACTACGACGTCAACGTCCTCATCAGCAGAAGCGGCGGTGGCGGCGGCAGCGGCGGCAGCAGTGATTACCAAGCCGATAACGCGCGAGGTTGCCTCGTGGTTGCATGCACCCTCCGAAACAGCCGCTGGTAATCCCATAGATCGTATTTTTCGGCATCAATCGCGAAACAGTCCGGAAACGGAACTTTATTGCGACTTCGAAGATGATCTAGATTTCGAACACGAACCAAGCTCACCCGCCGAAGAAGTCACGCCGGCGGAATTAGCTGATTTGTTGGTAAATACTGAAATTCTTAAGACGAATCATCACGAAACTTGTCATTGTTCATCGAACGGTCCGAGGCTAGGAATCGATCAGGAGTCCGAGTCGGAATGCGTTTTCGCTTCGCCGGCAAGTGGAACCTCACCGGCGAGCGAGGCTTCCGAGATTTACTTTGATCCAGAATCGTCAGATGCAGAAAAGATTAAAAACGAAGTCTACTTTGATCCTGTTACAAGTTCCGAGAGCGAGTCAACTTCAAACGTCTGTAACAACTTGGATGATGTCTCGGTCAAAGAAAAGCCATCGTTGTCGGTAGATGGATCGTCTATATATCGAGAGGATTCGTCGGACTCGAGTCTATCCGTGAGTAAGTACAAACCGTTGCCCTTGGAGAGGTTTCGCCTTGATACTCGTCAGAATAGACCCACTAAAGAGGAATGCAGTTCAGAAGATTCGTTGAACGATAGGAGCTCTCGCGAGACCACTTCACCAAGTCACGAATCTCTTTGGAGCACTTTCGACGACGATAGCACCGTTTCCCTTCGTGACGAGACTACCAGGCCCGGCAACAATTATCTACCAACGTGCAAACATCTTCCAAAGTCGCATTCTGACTCAGAGATACTGGACAACATAGGTACAATAACTTTGGCCCCGAGTACCTTACCAAGAACGATCGAGAAAAACGAGGAGGAAGGATACGACATTATTGATTTTTTCAGTTTTCCGGAAGAACTTACTCAAGATCCGATCAAAGAACAAGACTCCTCCTCTTGCGATTTTACTGAAGACAAGCTCATTGGAAATGTTACTACGGAGGAGGCGGAAACGATTAGCGACGATAGTCCCACGGATGCAAACGGCCAAATAGACACAGATCTGGAAGAATCAGCTATCAACGATGGAGACCTCTCCGTTTATGTTAGTACATTGAATATAGCCGATCAACTCGTAGTAGAATGTCCCACGGGAAGAAGACTGACGGAAAAATTGAATAAACCTGTAATGAACGAAGTAACTTTGCAAATCGAGAATGAAACAGTATTAAATGCGAAGAGCGATGAGAAAATATCTCTATTCTTGTTGGACCTGGACAAAGAGAAGTCTAACAGAGATCGGAGTGGTTCAATAAATAGGAACAAGTGGGGGGACGAGCGAGTTGCCTCGAAAGAAGCTAAAGAAGAAAACGAAGATGTGGAGGATGACGAAGAGGAGGGAGAGGAGAGGGAGTCAATGGAAGAAGGAAGACCGCGGAGGCTCAGACGATGTTCCTCGTTGAAGACTGGTAAGACGCCACCGGGAACACCCGGAAGAAAAAAGATCGTTAGATTTGCTGATGTTTTGGGCTTGGATCTTGCGGATGTAAGAACCTTCCTTGACGAAATACCAAAGATACCAAATTCGGCATATAGCGATTTGATATACGACGACAGTTTCCAAAAAGAAAGCAGTCCGGCGAATCTTGGCCTTTCTACGAGCTGGCACCAACGATATTCTCCCGCGTCCACATCAAGAGTCGTTGATAGGACATTAGTACCGCTCTTTCAACAACCCGGTGGACTTCCAAATTTTCTCGATTTCGTTCGAGAACGCAAAGTGTGCTTGGAAAATGTTCTTGTCCAGGATCCGTTAACTCTCTGCATACAAGGTACAGTGAGAGTTCTCAACCTCGACTTTCACAAATCGGTTCACATAAGATACACCCTAAATTCTTGGAAGAATTTCAGCGATCTTCAAGCAAGCTATATATCGAACTCGTGCGATGGCTTCAGCGACAAATTTTCTTTCATTCTCTATTGTCACACTCTGACGATCGGACAGAGACTGGAATTTGCTGTCAGATTTCAATGCAAAGGCACACAATTTTGGGACAACAATGCTGGCACCAATTACTGTTTTCAATGCTTACCGGTCTCTTCCAGCGTCGAATACATCTCGGTAACGGCGAGAGAAAATCAAAGGGACTGGTCACCTGTGTTCTACTGATTTCTACATGCTCGACGACTAAAGATTTTTATCTTTAAACTCATCCGGAAATGATACCCCGGCGGCTACACTCAATCTCTCTACCGACGATCGTCAATTATTATTTCCTGCCAATTTCCGAAGAATTCAAAATACTCAATTAATAGTCCAATCGAGTCCGGTTGTGTACCGTATCGTTTAGAAATTCGATTATATGTTCAAGAAGGAAGACTGAGTAATTGACAATGAAAGAACATTGATTTCAATGAATATAGTCAAGTATATCTACAGGATATTTTTGTGATTAGAGTGATATATGAAAGTACAAGGAAAAAAAGGAAAAAAGCACGAATACCTTGTCGAGATGTCGGTGTCGTTGTATCCATTTTTATGCTCTCGACTTTTTCTCTATCGTCATCTGTATTTTCTTACGCTTACCTACGTAACAGAAGGAATCCATCTTGCTTTGCCGACAAGAAAATCGTCGTGCGATGGAGTCGTATTTAAGTAAATCACTTTCAATATCGTCCGTGGTATTTTCCGAACGCTATGATGCGTGTGCCTATATATGCGTACATGCGTGCTTGTACGATTCGAATGAAGAAATTTCTTAGCCGATGACCAATCTGAAATTTAAAAGCACGTGTGGATATTACATTATCGCGACAATATTATTAACATCGATAAAAATATGTAATGAAAATGATGATCGTTCGTTACCTTAAACACTTCCGGAATTGTGGATGAATGTTCCATAAAATCGAGATTACATTAGGAATACATTTTTTAACAAACGTACATCGTAGAAATGATGGCACTGATAATGTAAATCCGCTTCGGTAGCGGTTTTCGTTATTAGTATCAAATATATTTTTTTTTCTCCTCATATATTAATTGTACGTAACAATGAATACCTAATTAAATGAATAAATGAGACGCGAAGTAGCGAATATTAGTCAAGTAACATATTGTTAAATGCAATAATACGGTGGACCGGGGAAGTTGTATCAATCTCGTTTACTTTTAAATTTCTCATGACTAATCTCTGTCGTCCAAAGTCATGTAACGCGTAAAAATCGTCCTCTATACCTACCTACGTGCTTATGGACGTGCCAAACAAACGGCAATTATATATATATACATATATATATACATATATATATATACATATACATATATGTATATATATATATATATATATTTATATATATATATTTATATATATATATGTAGTTGCAGGCTTTAAAAGAGAACGTTTCGCGAGAATATATATATATGTATCTGTTGGATCAAAGATTAGTACAAAGAGTGTTTTTCGGTAGTCGAGATATATTGTATATGAAAATAATAATATATCTAAAATATATATATGTATATATATATATGTATATATATATATATATGTATATATATATATATTAGATAAACACGAATGAATTCAAAAGAAATAAAATATATGTTTACATAGATGTACACGGGGATAAGAGCTTTCATACTCTTGACTTCAGATGAAAATAATAGAAGAAATAAATATTTGAGATGAAGAAAAAACAAAACAAAAGGAAGAAGAAGAAATAGAAAAAGGAGAATATATAATTTATTACATAATCGTAAATTTTTGTAAATAGAATAGTATCAGTGTTGAGTTTATCGTCGAGTATATCTGTGCACAGTTTACAGGAAATGAAAAAGAAAGAAAAGCAAAAAAGAAGGAAAAGCAAAAAAGAAAAAAAGAAAAAACAAAAAAAAAAGAAACAAAAAAGAAAAGGAACAAAAAACAAAACAAAAGAGATGTTTTAGTTGTATATACACTCGAAACGACGTTTAAACGACACCCTGTGATATGCTTTTTCGAAGAGAAGAGCGAATTTATTTCTGTTAATCCTCTCTGAGATAAGAAAACGAGACGAGAAATCGAGCGAAGCTTTCTTATCGTTCTAATAATCGCAACGCTTACCGAACGAACGAACACGAGAAAATTCTCCGTTCGAAAGGAAATATAATAATAAACGAAAACTCATCGATATGCAATAAATACGATATAACCTGATCGATCAGCAGCGCGTTTTGTTTTACGTGCTTCTTCGATAAAAAGAAAGGATATCACGTCTGAGAGGCTTTTGATAAATATATGTTCGATAATAAAAATATATTAAACGGTGAAACGCATTTAGTTTTGAGAATGTCAACGATTGGACATTTTATCTTAGGTCCGTCCGAAAGAAGATATTTTTTATTTTTATCAGAAGCAACCTAATAATAAAATATGGAATGGCCTTTTACGAAGAATACTATTATCACTATTACTACTATCACTACCTTTATTATTACTAGTACTACTACTACTATTACTATCACCACCACCACAACTACTACTGCTACTATTACTACTACTACTACTACTACTACTACTACTACTACTACTACTATCATCACCACCACACCTACTACTACAACTGCTACTACTGCTACTACTACTACTACTACTACTACTACTACTACTACTACTACTATTACTACTACTACTACTACTATTACTATTACTACCACCATCACCACAATTACTACTACTACTACTATTACTACTACTATTACTACTGCTACTACTTTTACTACTACTAGTACTACTATTATTACTATTACTACTATTACTACCAATACTAATATTGCTACTATTATTATTACGACTAATAACAAGAGCAACAACAACAACAACAGCAACAACAATAATAAGAAAGAAGAAAAGAAAGAAAGAAAACACAAAAAAAGAACGGGGAGGAGGAGAAGAAGATGATAAAAAGTGTTTCTGCGTATGAGTCTAGGAGAGATAAGATTGTAGATTATAATAATATAGCATATTTTTATATCCGTATTTACACGTGTAAGCGCATCTGTCGTACCTCTAGTCCATAGAGCCGTGAGTTTTCGTCTGGAAGGTTCGAGAATTATTCGCTAAAAAATTCGCCAAACAATTTTACTTTTAAACTAACGAATTTGAGAAATCTTTGAAAATAAGACTCGAATCCTATTTGCTCGCTTAATCTTTTAACAAATATTTTTTTCTTTTCTTTTCTTTTCTTTTCTTTCCTTTCGTTCTTATCTATTTCGTTTGAATATTTACAACTGATTGCCGTCTGTCATTTTTTTTCCTACTATAACAAAGAAAAGAAAAGTAAAAAAGGAAGAATAAAATGTTGAAACAATTTCTGGCTGTGATCGATTTAAAATCCTTAGACGAAAGAGTCAAACGGAGAATTCGAAAGTCAAAAGAGAGGGATTAATCTTTGATTTATCTTTTATGCGTATCCTGTCTTGATGTTAATTATCTAATTTTATCAATTTTAATGAATATTTTATCCATACTGATTATAATTACTCTTCCATCGGTAGACTGAGTTTTTTAGCACTTTTATTTTCCCGTCAGATATTTTTATCCGTATATATTCGACCACAGGCTACACAAACGAGAGGATAATATCGGACTTCGTGTATTATAAAAATATTGTTAAAATGTCTAATTAATTTTTATCGATTGAGATTCGTGTGTTTCGATGTCGTTTAAGAAGATCCTAATTGAAATTTTATATAAGTATGTAGAAACAAGCGTTATTGTTCGTAAGAAAATTAATAATTATCGGGGAAAAAATATTATTGTTAACTCACTATCGTAAATATATATATATATATAGGCAAATATAAATGTATATATTTAATCGTTACCGTAACGCGTTTCATCGCGTTAAATCTATTTAACGTGTTATTACTGTAAGAAATATATATTACTTATATCTATTAACAAATGCGCTTCTCAAGAGAGACTTTTTTTAAGAGAGATCTCTTCGTACGGTACCATGAAAAAATAACCTAGCCAAGACTGATTCTGCACTCTGTCCTCCGTAACGTTTTACAAGAAAGGATGTATATTTTTGAGTCAAGCATAAATCGAGCGCACGTACTACCTTCAGATAATTTTACAAGATACACGACTTCTCACTACACTCGAATTCAGAAAAACTAAAATATATTTGTTACGACTAGTGTCGATAGAATTTTTCAAATTATAGTATATATATATATATATATATATATATATATGTATATATATATATGTATATATATATATATTCTTCACTTGGTTATTTTCGATCATTATTTTCAACTTATATCATATCAAACTTTACGTTGCTACTATCGTAAAGTGTACTATTTTTGTATAATTTTGATGGAAAATTGATACATTAATAAAATACTTATTCTTCCCCTTGAGATATCTTTACTCTTATAGATACATACTTTTCTTTTCAAACGTCAAAAAATCGATCAACGATTTTTATTTATTTATTTCTTTTTACACAAACATTTGACAAAACGATCCTATTCTGACCGTTATTGAATCCTTAAAAAATTTATAATATGCCTGGGGAATTATAACGTTATATTAAAGATATTAAAGATGTATACACGACAGAGATTTTTATGTACGAACGCTGATAAGAAAGAACATTATCCCTGATTAAAATGAATAATATACGTATATTTACCATACATATATACACGCATGTATATATATATATATATACATATATACATGTATGTGTATATAATATATATATATAAATATACATATATATATATATAAATATATATATAAATATATATATGTGTATATCTGTATTCTGTATCGTTGTACTATGTGCTATTATTAATACAATAATAGATATACGATTTATAGTTCTTTGATTTTTATTTCATGTTAGTTTCTTAAAAAAGGCTTGTCCATCCTTTTACTTTGTAAATGTTTTTGTTTAGGAAATATTAACGAAATGTTTGAAATGAATGAGTTTTTAAAATGGCAGGCATTTATTATAAAAAAAAAAGAGAGAGAGAGAGAGAGAGAGAGAGAGAGAGAGTAATTAATTAGTGATAGTACAAATGTCGTTTATAATCATTTCTCAATAAATCATCAAGAGTTACCCTGTAATGTTTTAGAACGTCCAGCTAATCGTTACAATCCATGATACGATAATTCCTCTTTGTCAGTCTTTGACAAATTCACCGTGAACAATTGTTGTAGTCGATGAAGGTGTCAATTAGGAAACATTTTCTAACAATAAGATTTATGCGATAACAAATCTTAAGCGAATTCACGTCGAGATCGTATTAGTGGAAATCGAGGTATCAAGCAAGCCTTTCACGAACTCTTACGGCAAGTTCTAATAAATATGCATTACTTGTTCCACACACACATGCACACATTTGCACAACCATACACTCACGACTCGAAAATATTTGAGATTCGAGAGGAGTGAAAAGTTGGACAAATCGAATAAGACAAATTGTAAGTAAAACGACAACGAGATATAATCACGGAACAGAAAAATAGTTATATACATATATATTATAAAAAGAAAAAAAAAGGTATTTACGTATATGGCTGGTATTCGTAAATATCATTTCTGATTTACCAGGAGTTTGTTTGTCTTTTCTTAAAAATAAAGAAAGAAACTAAATCGATCCTGTTGTCATCCCTCATCGGTGAGAATATTTTTCAAGAGCAAAAAGAAAGAATAGTCTTGTTCTCTTCCTTATAAACGATTATTCATTGTGAAATCAGCGTTGGTCAATTTTAACGCTCTCAATTGTCTGTACAGTCGTTGCTTGCAGAATTGATAAAATTCGACCTCGCGGGTAAAATTTCTACGGACGATATCCTTTACTTCTTCGCTCACCGGTGGCTTAAAGAAATTTCGGTTGATGCTTGTGAAAGCGTTCGTTTGATCTAAAAAAGAAGCACTTGTATATATATATATATTTAAAAGATATGAAAATATAATTAACCCTAGTTGGGCCTGTGGGGCGTAAAACACTCCAGATCAATTTTGAGCTCAATTAAAACAATTTGCGCATTGCGTGATTCATGAATTTTTTTTTTATAATAACAGAATTAGGAATCCATTTTTAAATCTACTAATAATTACTTTCGAAGCTTCAAAAAATATACAGTATTTTTTGTAGTAAAAATTATTCATTCTGTATAAACGATGGCTACTGAAAGTGTCTGGGATGTAGCTTATCCTATATGCACAACTTGAAATTATTTTGAGATGTGCACAACTAGGGTTAAATCAAGTATAACTCGTTATATTATATACCATGATAGACTTGAGCGGCACCTCGGAAAAATCGAGGTATGTAATTCTCCAGGACAGTAAGGGTAGTGTTCACATCTTCAAGGACACCAACGACCGCATAATGTTTCTCGACTGCGAGCTTGGCACGTTCTAAGGCTCCCACCGTGTTGAAAGGACTTTAAATGGCAAATCCGTTATTATGGCTTTGAAAAGAAGCAAGCATAACAAGAGTAACGTGGAAAAGAACGTATAATATTTTATATTTATATATGCATTATGAACCCGCCTTTACTCTCTCATTCATATGAATTGTTTCGAAGACTCACGTGCACTTTTCACTGTGTCCGCAAAAGAAAAGTGTCTGTCTACGATGATCACCGATACCCTCGTGTATTTCTCCTTTCAGATAGCGACACTCGCGGTCACCCTTCAAAACACACGTCTCAAAGTCTTTCTTTAGCCAATTCGGATCGGGTAAGGGTAAATCGGGGAAAATTTGCTTCCTCTCGACGTAATACCAGGGTGCTCTAACGTAGTAATACCAAGATATAACCCTCTCCACTGGATCTCGAACTACGTTTATGTAAATTGGTTCCGGTAAATTGAATCTATGGAAAAAAAAGGGGAAAGGCAAATGTTAGATCAAATCTTTTGTCGAAACATTCAAACGAATATTTCTTTTCGTTCATCATTGACTCACTTGGTGAAATTCGTGAAGCACACGTGTTTCACATAAACCGATGGTTCCGAGTAACTGCTGACCATCCTGGCAAGTTGAAGCTATGAAAATAAAAGATGCAAACGCGTTATTGTCGATCAATGCTTGCACTATTATTATTTTTTCAAAGCATCCCTCTCTCTCTCTCTCTCATTCTTCCCTTTTCCTCCGTCTCTCTTCCTCTCTCTCTCTCTCTCTCTCTCTCTCTCTCTCTATCTATCTCTATCTATCTATCTTTCATCTATGCAAGCACGTACCGTTCAATCAATTACTAACAATTACTATTCACTTGAAAGGATTCGTGGTAATCGAGTGGAATTGTTGGTACAAAGGCGTCATACCTGTTCGATCGGGGCGAGACGTATTGTTTCGACTCTTTGAACGCGATCTCTGTTGAAAGAAAAGCCATTCCTCATGGAAAGCCTTCTTAATAGTTCCATGAACGTCTGGGAGCCAACTTTTGGTACACGATTAAAGAAAAGCACCAATCTATCAGCTTTCTTTGTGTTGTTCAGCCCATCGACATCGAGAAGATCTGCTTCTTCGTACTGAAAATAACAAACTTTCTTAAATCGAGAAACATTGTTTCTTCGACTTTCTATTCGTAGCTTGAGAAATGAAATTTGAAAGTAATCGCAAAGCACGATAATTCAATTATGCTAATGTATTGTTTTCCTTTCTTTTTCTTTTTTCTTGTTGTTTCTTTTTTCTTTTTTTTTTTTTGTTCACATCGGTATGTCGTTTCATGAAAATTCCTTTTGTTTCACTTGATTGATTTTGCATTCTATCAGCTTTACAAGCGAATGCGTAGGATTACTTAAGGAGAGTGCAAGAGAAAGGGGGTTACGAAAATACGAATTAATCTTCGCTCTTTGAAGGAAACACGTTTGTTGATGTTAAAACGATAATCCGATAAGAGTCGAGTACTTTCAGTCACGTGAAATGATTCAGTTTCAGGAACGACTTTGGAAAGAAGAAAATCTATGAGGCATCACTTTGTCTATCATATATCATCTCTGTCTAATGTTTCTCAGAAATATTACTTTTTATCCTTATTCTGAAAAGTTAAATGTCATTTAATTCGATAATAGTATTACGATTAAGTCGGATTTCACTTTTGTTAATAGATACGATACAATACTATAACAATATATTCGTATGGTATACATAGCTTACACGTAGGTGTGCGATCACGATGCGGCAAAACGAATTCGTAAAGCTCTTTCAACTTGGATAAAAAAGAGAAAGAGAAAGATAAAGAAGACTGAGTCCATTTCTGGTAAATCCAGAAACGAGTAACAACACAGTATGCAGTCACTTCCTGAAGAGTCCGAAGCATCTGGCAGTCTTACCGATCGGTCAACGTACTCGATGCCGATCATAAGGAAGTACATTCTCGATGCGTGTCTTACGTTAGTTGCGTTTTACCAGGTACACATATTTGCTATCATTCGAAAATTCTCAAGTCATTCTTTCGAACTAACTGAATGCAGCGCGATATCGCGATCATAGAAGAAACTCGTAGAAACGGAAAAAAAAATTCTAAACGATAGCGAAGATCTCTGGTGAAAATTGAGACGCAATTAGGAGGCAATTCTCAAGGCAAATTGCGTCATTAATCGGACCGTATCGTCATCGTGGTTACACGTCAATCTCGTTGCATGGTACGTCGCGTACCTTTTATACAGGCCGATATGCGACACGTGATACTCTATTTAAATCTTATTAAAAATCTTATTACGTAATACCTGATGGCATATCTATTTTGGAATTTCTTTAGTGATATCCTAAAGGTCTTTAGTTCGTCCAAATAAAAATACTCTTTGCGAGATGAGACGTTAAATTTTCATTGATTATTGGTCATTCCGGTTAATTTGATAATATTTTCCAGATATATAATTTCTGATTAGTTCTTACAAGTACATATATCTCTTTTTAAAATGAGCAGTTACTTTCGCGTATCGAACCAATAACTTTCTAATTAATTGTGACCCGATAGATCAATCATGGTTGTTGCTATTTGCTCCTCGATCCTCGGTCTTGGTTGCTCGATCGAAAGTGTATCTTTGTAAAAAGTATAGAAAGGTATACGTTCATTTTATTAGAAAGAATTATGCCATTGAAAGGCATAAATGTAAACTTGTATGAATTTCTTACAAGTCGAGAAATTTTTCTCACAGCGAGAGAATCCCGAGCGAATGAATTATTTCCGATTACGGTGCGAATCTACTCGTACGATGAATAGCGCAGCGCGAGTAAAACGGAGTGAACGACGATTTTGTATTTCGAGACGGTGTCTGGCAGAGCAGCTACCACCTCCTCTCGATCGCTTTCACCGTAAATTATCGTAAATGATTTTCGAGCGTCATGGCTACTTTACGTTAGAGCCACATCTTTTATCTAACCTTAACTTTATTTCGAAGAGAAAGAGATACTCTTGACAATTTCAAGTACATGACCAATGGAAATATACTTACGATTCATTACGTTTCATCAAATACGAAGAATTAACCGTTGTTGAACATTTTTCTACATACCGAATGCGATATCTTCTTACGGACATTTTAAAATTCTAAACAAAAGAAACAAAAGTATTACTCGTTAAGTATCAAGTATTATACCTCTGAGAGACTTCTTGGTCCACGGCCATCGTTGTGCTCTACTTATTACCTACTTTTTTGCTAAAGTCTCGAGCATGCGAAAACCAGCTACGGCCGATAATTATAGTCGTAAATGTGTCTTAACAACGATCTCTAACGAACTCTACAAGTCTAGACGATTAGCTATGCCAACTTTCGAAATAATTCTAAGTCTTTCCTATCTCATTTACCTCGACCTTCCTCAAGGATAATCCTTATTTTTTTCTACTATTAGCATTCGTTTTCTTTTCAAGATATACAATAGGAATGAGCCGAGACAAATTAAAAAAAAAAAGGGCATAATTGGTCGAGTGTTCTACGAGTACACTGAATTGAAATATGGGTCGCATCGAATTATTCGACGATGTATATCATCTATTCGATCGAATGCATCCAATAATATTTTTATAGGAGAACATTTCCCGTTACTTCCTGATACTATTTACATTAGACAAAGTTTAATGAATTGTACTTATCGAATGAGTCCAAACTATCGGATGATTTTATTCGGGTAAGGAAAAGAAACGAAAAAAAAAAAAAAGAAGAAGCGAAAAAAAAGAAAGATGAGTTATGCACGAAACGACCGAACTCGCGTTACGGAACACGATTATTATTCCGATTAAAAAGTAGACAGGATTCTTCTTTCTTCTTTTTTTTCTTTCTTTCTTTCTTTCTTTCTTTCATAATTTAAATAAAATATTACCTTTTGTGTAACGCGCTGTAAGCTCGAATAATGATCGTTCCCGCTCGATGTAGATTCCGTTTGAACTCCTTCTGAAAGCAAAGAAACATCAGATCGTTAAGGAATGCATCGTCCACTTTTCTGACATCGCTCAATATCGACAAGAAGAACGACGAACGAGAGATCATCGTTCAGTAAAGTTGAAATAAAAAAGAGAGAGGAATCGCCGGAGAAAGGGAGTGACAGCGAGCAATCGGGGAGAAAGAGAAAGAGAGAGAGAGAGAGAAAGAAAGAAGATTGAAAAATACTTATTGCCCCGAAGCAATTGATATTTTTTTTCCTCTCATCTTTTTTCCTTTCCATTATATTCCTATAGAGCAACCAAGTTGGCAACTTTCTAGGTGATCAAGATTTGCATGGTTGCTCTTCAATTCCCTCTTCAGTTCGCGATTATTATTTCTGAAATCTCGTAATGATATGCACGACCGATTTAGCTTTGAGATATTATCTCTCCTACATTTATTTTATTTTTTTTTTATTATGTCAAAATACAAGTCCAAACTTTCTTTCACCTTCTTCCCTGATTTATATTCAGACAAAATATACGTTGGCGTAATCGATCCTTTCCCTAATTTAATGATTCGAGAGAGAAAAAGAGAGAGAGAGAGAGAGAGAGAGGAAGAATTTTTTCCATTTACTAGTTTGTTCCATTTACGATATTACATGAAACAATGTAACGGATGAACAAGAAGGGAGAGAAAGATATTTACAATTTCAAGTAGTCGCGGAATGGTCAGTATTTCCTTTGCCGGAGTTTTAAACGACGCGAATGAAAATCTATATACGCATATACTCGTATGTACCTACACCATAGATTGTACGTGTACGTCCGTTAAGAAGGTGTTTGCCTTTAAAAGAAGCTAGTTTAAGCCGGACTATTCCTCGTAAGGTTCGTATATCGTTGATCTTGGCCGAGATTCGTGCTGACCATTCCAGTCATAATCGTGCACGGAATCGTAGAAAGGAACTACGGCTATCTAATTACTTGGGATTCTCCTCGTAATGTAAGTCGCATATCGGGAATTATCTTCTGACTTTTGAGTTTAATCTCTTTCTCGCTCATAGAATAAGAAATGAGATAAGCGAATGGATCTGACGATGCAAATGAGAGAAATTAATTTTAATGAATTTCATTTTAATCTTAAATGAATCGCTAATATACATACGGATAATTTAAAGCGAATCGAATTGAATCAAATTGTCGAAATTCCATTTGACCGACAAACTATAATAAACGATAGAATTTGTGTTAATTTCAGTGAAAGGATTTCAAAATCGAAAGCTGGATGTCCATTTGAATTTATACGATCGTATAGATGGAACGATAAAATGAACGTATTGTGCTCGTAATTAGAGATGGTACGTGGAGATGTTCAAATTCGATGCTATAATAGTTCACGTAATTAGATATTTCTAATTCTTATTAATAAATGTACATAAATCGGTTTGATGATTTTCAATCGAATCTCTCTAACGTTTCGCAATCGTTACAAATAAATCGAGATATAAGATTTAACTATGTTAGATCTTACAATATGATGCACGCAAAAGATGAATTTAAATTAAAAATAATTACATCATTTAGGAAAGAATTAACTTGAACGAGTATAGTGAACGATTAATACCACGATCGCAAAAGATACGATGATAGGTAGTAGAGTTGGAATCAAAGCGAGTCGATCGAAAAAGGTAACGGGCGTGCATGCTGCTGCACGCGTGTCGACTGGACCGACGACCTTTTACTCTCTTTTTAGTAGAGAGAAAGAGAAAAAGAGAGAGAGAGAGAGAGAGAGCCCTACTGACCCAGAAGTCGTGAAAGCGACGTGTCCGTAGAAACGGTCCTTGCGTGCATGCGCGCGCGCGTATTACTTACAACTGATGACACTGATACTTTCTCGTAAACAGAGACAGTGTCTTATATTTAATTGTTCTCGATGAACTTGTGCACGTGCGCATAACTTTATGACCTTTCTTAAAAGTGGAACCAAGAGAATTTTGATCGATTTATTTCACGAAAGATTTCCGCCTTTTCAATCGAATGAAGAGCAAACATCTTTGTCGATTATTCGGGCGAACGGAAGAAAAAGAAAAAGAAAAAAAGAGAAATCAAATTAATAATCGATTCTCGCGAGTTTAATCTTATACGGCTACACTTGTATTTTCAAATTCTTTAAGGAAACTTTTCTAACGATCATCGGTCTTCAAGTTCTCTCGGAAGAGTTGGCTTTCGTGCTCCGTCACCGTAACCTACATTTTACGATCCTTTACGATTACAAATTACGGACAAAAAGGAAAGCTTCGCTGAGGTTGCATTGAGAACTTGGCGAACGGGCCAAATTGCGGAAATCAAAAATTTCTTAAACGTTGGTAAAGAATTTCTATTAAAATTTTTCTTTTTATGTCTTTAAAGAAAATGTTAAAGTATTTCATTTAATTTATTTACCTATCGTATCATAGAGAATTCTCTAGATTAGACAGAGAATATATATATATATATATATATATATATATATATATATGTAAAATATATGTATATTTTTTTATAAGGTATAGTAGGCACGAGAGTCACGCTCGGTGTTTGGCATATAGAACAAAATTTGCAATTCTTTCTTCGAATCGAAATGACCATAGATCACCCAATCGAAAGCCGGATGTTTTACTCTGCTATATCATAAGATACTAACACATCGTTGAATCGTTCGATCTTCACTTTGATCTGTTCGAAATCACGCGCGTAGTCGAACAAAATTGATACCACTTATGTGATACTTGTTGTAATATATATAACATATTTGTATTCGAAACATTATCCGAAGTATAAATTAAAGTAATCCTTTTATTGAGTCGTTCGACTACGCGCGTGATTTTGAATAGATCAAATCACGCGTGTTGGTGAACGGGCCAAATTGCGGAAATCAAACATTTCTTAAACGTTGGTAAAGAATTTCTATCAAAATTTTTCTTTTTATGTCTTTAAAGAAAATGTTAAAGTATTTTATTTAATTTATTTATCTATCGTATCATAGAGAATTCTCTAGATTAGACAGAGAATATATATATATATATATATATATATATATATATATATATATAAAATATATGTATATTTTTTTATAAGGTATAGTAGGCACGAGAGTCATGTTCGGTGTTTGGCATATGGAACAAAATTTGCAATTCTTTCTTCGAATTGAAATGACCATAGATCATCCAATCGAAAGCCGGATGTTCCACTCTGCTATATCCGAAGATACTAACACATTGTTCGATCTTCGCTTTGATCTGTTCGAAATCACGCGCGTAGTCGAACGACTCAATAAAAGGATTACTTTAATTTACACTTCGGATAATGTTTCAAATACAAATATGTTATATATATTACAACAAGTATCACACAAGTGGTATCAATTTCTCTGTGAATAAGTAGGTTAAAATCTTAACGTATCAGATTTGTTCCAGTTTCATAATTTCCATGCAATAAAAGATTTTCGATAAGGTATTTGCCGTTAGATCCGTAAAATCTTAGCCGGTTTATCATCGAAATATATAAATGGAAAATATTCAACGTGAACTCTAAAATACGCATATTATACCTGTAATAAAATAAATATTAAATGTTTAAATTTCTATTACATTCTCTCAAAGTTTTACAATCAGGTACAAAGATGAAGGTTCTATCGTACGCTAATAATTAAATCGGAAGAAGCAACCAATTTTGAATTACAATAAAGAATTAGACGGCAAGACAATAGCGATCCTGATACTAGGTCGGTTGAACGTGCAGAAACCAAGGTAGAATCTCAACGTAATAGCATATAACGAAGCGTATTTAATTGCTAATTAAAACGGCAAGCTATCGGTAGTCGCGGTCATAAATAGAGGCCGAACGTTTTTGCTCTAACTGTAACGCCACTAATACCTACCTAGGAGAACGGCAAAAGAACGATTTGCATTCGCGATATTATTAATTGCATCGATCTGAGGATCTAACCAGGTGAGATTGGAATTTTATTCCGATCCGAGGAAAAGCATTCTCAAGGAAGGAACATGTATCATCGTAAAGAGAACGTGACGGTTATGATGAATACCCACTTTCTGATCGAATATCGTTTAAACCAGGTGCGGAAGAGCCGAAAGATGCGTTTATCGATCGTGAAACATTTCCTGTGAAAGCCTTTCCTTTTAGAAAGAGACATCCAACAGGCATACACGGGTTCGCTTACCCGTACCCATACTTATACTCATACCCGTACTCACGGACGCACAATACTTACTATATAGATACAGATGTATGTATGTATATATGTATTGAAGGTAGATACAGGTAAGTATATTGTGGGTGTGGTGGATGCCTGGTTTTTTTTTCTCTCTCTCTCTTTTAATTCATAGCAAACTCGTTACTTTCACCATCGTCATACTTAAATAGATATATCTACGTATAATATATACATATATAGTTAAGAGTATGCGGAATAAATGACAGAATTTACTGTTCCAAATAAACGTTCTATTTTCATTCAAAGAGGAGAATTGGCACAAAGTTGACGATTAAGTTTAATTTGTTAGATACATGCTAGAGAGTTATGCGTTATGTTAATAAAATGCCATGTAATCTGCTAATAAATTCAACACGGGACTCTTCCCACGGAGTCACGAAGAAGTCGCGGAAGGAGTTAGCTAAACTGGTTTGACGACATATCACGCTATGTGAAAAAGACAAAAAAAAACGAAAAACGTGACAGTCGTCTAGCGATCGATATCACAATCGAAAAGTAGCATATGTCGGAGACGGAAAAAAGCTTTTCCTCCTTTGTAATATCCTTGTTTAATAACTAAAAATAGATAATGTCATTTTAAGTGGATATAACGGAAGCGTTGATTCTAAGTTCGATCGATCGATCGATCGATTAACTATAAACGATAATAATATCTATATCGTTTACTTGCGTAACTGAAAAGGCGGATATTACGAATTAACGCTATCTTATTTCCAGTTCGACTACTTTCACCTTTTTGTTTTTCGTTTTTACGAAATAATAAAAGAAAAAAAATAAAAAAAAAATAAGCAGAACGAACGAAAAAGCACGCAATAAAAATACTCGCGTCTCTTGAACTTGTCGAGTCCTTCGTACGTTCACTCTCACACCTTGACCTTCCCTAAGCGGGAACTCGCGCGCTTACCACTATTCATCGAGACTGGAGAACGGCGTGTCGGCATCGTCTGTAGAGACACGGCCACGTTGCGCGACTGTCGTTGCACGATTCATAATCGCTAGTTTTAGAACATTCACTCGTTTTTCTCCGGCCGAATCGATATCAATTGAATATATCAACGCACGCGAATATCTAATACTTGAATCTTAGAAAAATACTTACCAGAAGAAATTTGTTTACCCGAGAAAAGCTCATCCTCGGCCGGCTGCAAACGTACCTCCATTTTTCGAAGACGCGAGTGGAGCTCTCTTGTGTGTAAAAAAAGGAAAAGCGTACAGGAGATAGCCACCAGGGCGATAAGCTCGATAGTTCTGCAATCAGAAGAAAACAGTGAACAAGTAACATTTTATATTTTGATTTTTAACGGAGCTATACAAATATAAATAAGTGTACGCGATTTCTCGAGCATGTCGACTATAAAATTCTTCTTTAAGTATCTTCCTCTGTTAATATATTATTATTCGTATCAGGTACACAAATACATACATATGTATATCTAGGAACGTACTTGAGAAACTTGGCGGTCTGTGGCAAATTACAAGATACTTTTGCGAGATACTATTTATTATGTTCCTAAGATGTAAAAGATACTTGTCCAATGCGTGATGAAAATATTATTTTTGTTCGGTGTCGCACGCGACACGTAATAGGATTGATAACGAGTAACGAAAAAAATCGGTGAGAAGGGAAGGGTGAAATTAAACGCGACCGTTCTACTTATTTTAATGCGCGTACTCTTCTTTTGGGCACACATGAGTGTAAATATGATATTTTAATATAATCGAAAATTATTTTTCTGGATGTATTTCGACGAAAGAAAGATATCAACGAGAAACGGAATGGGAAAGTTGCTTTTGAATTGTACCTATCGAAAAACATTGTGGTTTATCTACGATACATATTTACATAGTACGAACAAAGTATGAAAGTTTTTCTTCCTTGAAATTCAGATCTAAAGGCTTCGTCGTTGAGACGACCGCGACGTATCGACCACGAAAAATTCGAAAGTTCATCTTTCTCTGCCGTGTCATTAACGTTATTGCGAATTGACTTTCAAGTCCCTTAATAGGTACTACTCATTCGATAGAGAATACTATTTTATTATAACGGTACAGTGTACGATAAGAGAAAAGAAAGGAAAAGAAAGAAAGAAAAGGAAAGGAAAGGAAAGGAAAAAAAAAGAAAAAAGAAAAAAAAAACGTGGACCGTGATACTCTGCCTACATACACACACCTATGTACATGTATGTCGTTCGTTTCCGCAACATCACGCTATTACGAAGCTTCATTATCGAGAGTAGAAAGGCACGAAGAAGGCGAGAATAATTATAAAATCGTGGCGCAAAGTCAACGTTTCCGAGATAATCGCGCCCGTGCGCGCACGCGCGCGCGCAACTGCGTTATTCTTCTTCTTTTTTTTCTTCTCTGAATTTTCCGAGTAGAAGATGAAAGGTGTAACCTTCATCAGTATCCTCAGAGTTTCCGACGCAATCAATCAAAATTATCATACATTCAAATGTACGGTAATTGAAAGAGAGGATCTTCTCGTAGCTCCTAGAAATCATCGAGTTAAATTCCGAGTTGATAAGTAAATCTTCTTTTTCTTCGGATACGAAGAATCGTGCCATTTAATCGCATTAATTAAAACGCGTCAATCGAAAGAATTTACGAATTTTTACAAAGACCTAAATAATCCTAGATAAGAGAAATCATTTATTAAAATTCTTATAATCAATGTGTGTTTTCTATATACAAAATATTTATTATATCAGAGATATACCTACTCGCATATATGTATATGTTTGGGTACTTGCGACACGCAATATTCATACGTGTAATTTAATCTTCATCGGTCACGTCTCATGCCGCGAAACTTGTTAAAAACCTTTTTAATACTGCGAAGGGTTGGCCCATAAACGAAACAAAGCGAGCAAATCTTTCACCGACTACTTCGTTGTCCTTGACGGTATTATTAATAAAATGCCTTTCCAAGTGATGTTATCTTTTTTCTCGTGCGCCTTTAAAAGGAGAGAATTTTTTATCCGAGAGAGAGAGAGAGAGAGAGAGAGAGAGAGAGAGAGAAAGAGAGAAGTGAATTTTCAAAGGGTGAACGATGAAGAAGAAGAGTTACGTATAAAAAAAAGTAATCCTCCGGAAAAGAAATCGAGAAACGAACGGTATCGGTCGGAGTAGTGTCAACGACACAGGGAGAAAGGAACCGTAAGGTAGGAGGTACGCGTACCTATACCGTAACGGCGTACATAAAAGAGGAATAGAGACAAAAGTACATAGACACGTAAGGTCGGAGACGCTTCTAAAGAACGACTGACGAGATTCTCCGGAAAAGGGATTTCCATTTCATCGTTGAAAATAACAAAGATCAAATATCTCGGTGATCTGTGAGTGCCGACGGATGCCCGTACACGATTGAATTATGTATTCAAATGTTCTTGTACTATAATTTATGGGGCGGGCAATTTATTCTCAAAGCTTTCTTTAAGAAAAGTACTCGATACATCGAGTCTGGTTATATTTTTTTCGTTATTATCATTATTATTATTATTAATATTACCTACCCAAGGTGGAATCGATTCGGACACACGATATCAGAAAGAATTTTTTCGCAAGAGCACATCGATACCGTTCGATAGCTGTCTAGAGGCCAAGCTTGATCTCTATTTCGAGACACGTATAGAGACACGATCGTTCGACCATTCGTTCGATCGTTCTCATGCAGCATAAGTTGCGGTGCCGGTCTTTCTCTATACACCGTGACACGAGACGCTTCGTATAAAGAGATTCTGCGATCCGATTCTTTTATTTTATATATGAGAAAAAGAAATAAGTAAATGGCGATGGCGATGGCAATGGTTGCACATGATGCGTCTCGTTGATCTCGCTTGTTGCCGCTCTCTTTTTATTGTAGCGCGAGTCCGAGCGCACGGTAAACAAGTGCTCGCTTGTATATCTTTGAAATATAGCGACTAGTCCGAGATAGTTATCTAGGTCTTGCGATCAAACGCGAGAAGGAAGAAGAGAGAACTCGAAATGCAGTAGACCGACACGCTTGTCGCATGCCTTGTAAACTTGGCTTGGCTGTTATGAAAAAAACAACAGCCTGACGTTACTACTCAACGTGCATTCCGATTTCACCTCCTTCCTTCATCTTTTCCACTTCTCTTCCTTCTTCTTTTTTAATATTATAAATAGATTATATATTATTCATAATCATGTATGTTTATAACGACATATGTTACACGTTTAACGTTTAATTATTAATGGTATGCGCCACGTATTATCATTATGCGCCATTATCGTTCACGTGTAAAAAAAATGTGAAGAAAATTTGATTCTTCCAGTTCTCATAAAATCGATAACTAACAGGTCGCGTGATTTCGCGATAGTCGACGTTTACGTCAAAAATCAGGCATGCAGAAAGTACCGTGAGGTTCGCTAATGATAACCTTGTTACACGCGATACGATTAACGCACGAAAAATTGATCGAATCCATCGTTATTCCCTCGATTTGTCTCATCGACTTTCGCTTTCCTCGATGGGTCATTTCTTCCTTTCTGTCTTTCAACAATCTTTACATAGAAAGTTTCTCCCGGCTATATAATTAAGCATTTTTAAGATTTTTAAGATGACTTCTACGATTTTTACTTCTATGATTTTTACGATTTTTACACAGAGATTGTACGAGGCTAAATAATATTTGTCTTCTATGAAGAAATTGAGGATAAAAAAAAAAAAAATAGAGAAATACGGAATGAATCTTACGCATCTTACTTAAATATTCTCTGAAACGTTTAGTTAGATTATTTCTAAAAAAAAAAAAAAAAAAAAAAAAGAAAAAGAAAAATTATCTTTATATAAGAAAGAGACCAGATGAAACTTATCTTTACTTACCTCTTAGGAACGATTACTCGCCTTTGTCTCCACATACTGTTCTTCGGCATCTTCTTCGATCCTTCAGGATTCTCAAAGAAATGTTAAGAGATAAACAAGTCCTCCTTAAACGTTATCAATGATCGAAACCTCAGATCCACTTTGTCGATCCGACCAGTAATTTGTCAGCTTCGCGATCGACGAATTTCCACCGATCATGCTTCGTTTACTCGCGACCACGTTCTTTCGCTATCGGTATTAACACGTCTGGCTCACACGAAATATTCTTCATAAATTATTAGGATGATCACTTTAAAGGAATCATTCAAAGTTCTTCGTAGAATATATGCGAGTGCCTATGTCCTTTCTCATGAACGAAGCCAATCTTCGTACATCTTCGAGTTTCACTTTTTTTTTTTCTTTATTAATATTCAAATCAATGGATCGCGAAGAACATTTTTTTTCAATCGTTTGAATACATCCAACATTCGAGCCGACCTTGATTAACCTTTCAGAAAAAATAGAGAGCGCGGAAATTCACGGTGAATTAAATCCACATTAGGAAGGACAAACGGGAACATCCGACTGGTTTGGTGGCCGGCACGCGACTGACGTTTCCATCGTGAGTTTCGTCTTCACTCTACGATCAGGAAGGCGCCTCGCACGATGCCGCACACACTCTGCGCATTCTGACTTTCTGAGGTCTCTTCCATCGATCTAATTTCAAAATTAGAATTTGCGACATAATTCTTTTTCATCTGTAATAAAAAGTTGAAAAACAACTTGAAAAATAGGATATAATTATTCGAAAGAAGTTGATTATTAAGTTTTTCATTGTTTCTATATATATATATATTTTTTCTTTTCTATCTTTCCTATTACTCCATTTTGTTATATTCTCTTTCAATTTTTTTTTTTTACTTCTTCTTTCTCCCTTTTTTCTTTCTTAGATTAACCGTTAATGTACACTCGATTCCAAGATACATAAACACAACCAAGATATCTTTTGAAAACTGTCTTTTCGTTATTCTCTCCATTTCATTCCCTCCTCTTTCATTTTCTTTTCTTCTTTCTTTTCTATTTACAAATTTGAAATATAACTAGGTATAGCTAGGTCTTTAAAAAGTTCTTTTGGAAAGATTTATATTAAAGCCTTTTAGACTGCTCTTTTATTCGTTTTGTTTTAATAGAGGAGGAAGAGAAAAAGAAAAGAAAAAGGAAGGGCTCTTTGATGACAAGAACGTTGCTCTTCGTCGAGACGAACAGCTGTCTCTAAACGGCCAACCCATCAACTCGATCTTCGACCCACGAATCCATCTTTTTGGTTATTTTATAGTTCATTGACCGTAAGTCTATTGAAAATGAAGATTCACGATCGTTTCATCTTAATCTTAACTTTTTCCATTTCGAATAAACATTATTATTGATCGAGCAAACAGTAAATATCATTCAATACCAATCTAATGATCCAATTAAATAGAAAGGACGTGTAAAAGAAAGAGAGAGAGAGAGAGAGAGAGAGAGAGAGAGAGAGAGATAGAGAGAGAAAAGAATCGAAGAATAATCTGCTTTCTCGTGTTAGTGAGAGTGAAAAACAAATAATGTATTCACTTCTTCATTACGAGAATGTTTCAATTTTCTGATAAAATTAACTCCTCGTCCCCATAGTTCACGCGTTAGGTATATATGCAACAAACAAGTTTTTAAATCAAAGCCATTTCGAAGACAATAAACCATGGCAAGCGAGTTGAAATATATGTCAAGATTGTTTGCCGAGATTAATCTTTAATGATTATGATAATTGTATAATAAAAATCTCATCGCACGACGTTAATCTTAATGTAATCATTTAATAATCAAATACATTACACCGTGGGATAATATGTCGAAGAAAGATGGAATTGTTATTATAGAAATTCAAAGGAACGACGAACGCTCGTTTGTTACTCGTCCCCTCGAATGCTAGCTACACGGCATTGCTCCGACGTATATAATAAAGTATGATATTTAGAGATAGTTTTCTGTAGTGTCTTCTTTTCGTTTCCGGAAGTACAATGACCTTAGGAGAAGAATTGCACGAGAAAGAAACGAGAAAGGCAGAAAAAAGGATCACATTCAACTAAGTGCATTCTTACATTTCATATGTTTGCACGTTTCTCATAAAAGAATCTCGAGTTTTTTGTTTCAAAGTCAACGAATTTATCTTGAACTTGGATCGTTTAAAAAAAAAAATCATTTATATCTCATTCACGGTGAATTACGAACAAATTGATCGACATTCGGTACCACATTTTCGTCTTATTTTAACAACAAGTTTGGATATAGTTATTAATATTTCATACACGTTCGTTCACTCTGATCGTTCACCGATTCTTCGCCATCCTTCATAAGACTTTCTTCTTTTCTAGCATCTACGAAAAAAGATAAGAATTACTCGATATGTAAATTGTAGATTATCTAATGCAAAATACTTGATGAATAATTCTATTGGATTATAATCTAAAGTGTATCCATGTGCCATCTTTCCGAAAGATCAGAATACATAACAGAATTGCTTGTTATCGTTTAGGATATGATGAGCTTCGAACTCGATGCTCGATCGAGCAACAGGAAGAAGAAAGAAGAGAACCAGAGAGAAGAGGAAAAGAAGAGGAGGGGATGGGATGGGATGGGATGGGATGGGATGGGATGGGAAAGGAAAAGGTCTTTGCACCTTACGGCTCTTGACGAAGGGGCAAGATACGCGACGAGAATCGATTTACAAAGAGTCATTGACGAGAAGAAACAAGGAGGGGAAGAAGAAGAAAGAGAAGAGGAAGAATAAAAGAGTCCTTTTGAGTGTTGATTGAATCCAAAGAATTCCAAAAGGACACGCAAAAATATCTTTGTTATTCTCCCCTTCCTACGATTTATTTATCAAATATTTTCCTCTTGTTACGCGATTTGTTTTCCTCCAATTTATCTTTCCTCATATTCCGAATAAACTCCCACCATTCGTCATACTCACCACCACTCTTCTCCTTCCCGTATCTACGTCTATGCTTGTTTAATGGTTTATGTGCGCATATATAAAACCGTACAAGACCTGTTCTCGCATCTTCTGATATTACCTTGTCAGAGACCAGAACCAGAGACCAGATCCTTCCTTTGCATTTGCTCATCCTGTGCCAAGAATAGAAACGCTTGCCAGTCTTTATTCGCCTTCTTCATCGAACTGAACAACGCGAACTGATTTCTCTTCCTTCGCATTCTAACTCCTCATTGGATTTTCTGACAATTCTGGAAAAAATATTTCATAAACGGTAAGTACTATAATAAAAGTGCTATTATATATCGATTATTTTAATACGTGTAGCCATTATATGTATCGATACGTTTTAATAGAAAAAATACGAAAGACCGTGTTCATTTGACAACATATAATTGAAAATTGGAAAAAGCAACAAGTTTGCGATATAGAGTTCTAAGATCATTTCTTATCTTTTATAGATATGCGCTTTTTTATTCTCATCCTACCGCTGGTAACAGCGATTCCATTAAAAAGTTTCGATAAAAAGTATGATCTTGGCATCGAGAATGGAAAGTTGAAATATGTTAAACTCATCGAACCGAGTGACACCGTTGATCTTTCGAATCTCGAACTGAATGAGCTCGACAGATATGCCTTCGAGTACGTTACTGACGTGAAAACATTGAATTTGGCTGGCAATTCCTTGAAAGATTTGCCTCATTTCGTCTTCTCGAACTTGACCGGATTGAAGAATTTATCTCTGGCTAGAAACAAAATCGTAAACGTTGAAAATCTTTTTGTCGGATTGACAAATCTTAATCAATTAGACATATCTTACAATCCGATTTCTCATCTACGACGGGGATATCTTTTTGGTTTAACCAAATCTGTCGAGATTTTAACCGAGGGTAACATCTTTTGGAGCATAAATACAAACGTTTTCACAAATGTGTTTCTAAAGGAGGACGATGAAAAGGAAAATCAATTGAAAATCAATGATAACGAGAAAGAGAGATTGATAGAAGCGAGCGATAGAAAAGTTCGAGAAATAGAGCTGGAACAGGAAAATGTGATTTTCCGAAGGTATCAGAGAGATATCAACGGTCAACTCGGGGAAAATCCCAGAGCGAAGCTCAGCATGACGGATGACGGTGTCGTAACGTCCATCAGCGATATCGATAATAACGAAACTTTGGAAGGAGGATGCCGAGAGGTGACCTTCGATCACAAGAAGGGACAACTCGAGCTTCGTAATATGGGTATTAAATCCTTCCAAGAAGGTTGGTACAAGATCCGTTCCTTTCCGGTCAGTTCCATCGATTTATCCGACAATGATATTACCGAGATTACCAAAGAAGTACTCAACGATTTGCCAATGAGCGTCGAGTATGTCAATCTAGCTGCTAACAGGATTAGTCATTTGTGGAAGAACGTGATAGAGAATCGATATCTGAAGAGGCTTAATTTCAAGGCTAATTCCATCGATACCATCGAGGATAACAGTTTCAATAAAACCAATCTGGAAGGCCTTTTTCTCGCGGACAATCAGCTTGACAATCTCAATTTTCTTCATACTTTGCCCTCGACGTTAACCCAACTCATTCTGACTAGTAATCAAATCGTCTCCATCAATCGTGGTGACTTCTCGAATCTAAAACGTTTAACTTATCTTAATATGGGCAATAATAAGATTACTAAGCTGCAAAACAACGCTTTCGAGGGCCAGGAAAACCTTCCTGTACTGATATTGACCAGAAATCGTATCTCCGAGATCGAACCAAGAGCCTTCTCGGATTTGAAAATGTTGACGACGCTTTATCTCTATCAAAATCTTATCAGCAAACTCGATAAGGATACATTTACTGACCTTACTAAACTTCAAGACTTAAATCTCATCACGAACAAGTTTACAATTATATCCGAAGATACTTTTCCTCTTTTGCCAAAATCTCTCATGTCTTTGAATCTTGATGGCAATGAAATAAAAAGCTTGGAAAAAGGTAGCTTCGTCGATACACCGCGATACTCTTTATCCTTAAACGAAAATCAAATATCAAACATTGCCCAAGGTGCCTTTAAACTTCCGAATCTTCGTAATTTGTATTTAAACAACAATACCCTTACCACCATCAATGGCGATAGTTATCAAGGTTTACCTCAGCTACAACATCTTTCCCTTTCTGGCAATCAAATATCGAATATCGAAAAGGGCTCTTGCAAAAATCTCGCTGGTTTACAAATCTTGGATATCTCTGGTAATCCCTTTCAACATCTTAAGAATGGAGCTCTTTATGGTTTGAACATTGAAAAAGGCACATTTCTCTATATTTATGACAATCAATTGAAGTCTATGTACGGTGGTGTGTTTGAAGATGCTTAAACGTGTTCACGTTACGAATATTTAAAACATCTTCGATTAGATGTTACTAGCTCGACGTTTAATTACCTCGCTTTAAATAGAGTTTCATCTAACGATCAATGTTGCGAATTGGTAAAGTTTCATCGTGACGCGATATATATACATACTATATACATACCATAAACGCACATATATATATATATATATATATATCTTTATATATATATATATCTTTATGTCTTCTATTGATTCTATGTAGTTGTAAGAAGAAATGTTGGAAATAAATTGACAAATATAAATATCTACAATATTCTCGTTCTAGCGTCGATCAATTAAAAATCTTGACCTTATTAGAAATATGAACGCAACTTTTCTTGTTTCGACGTAGAATTTACGACAAGTTTTCGCAACAACTTCCGCATTCTTCGAACGTGTACCCTGCTATAAGAATTGAGCAATGCATTTCTTTACTAAATAAAAGATTTCGTCATGCAAAAATAATAATCTTGTTTAAATAAATGCTTTGAAAAAGACTACATGTGCTGCAACTTTCAAGTATCCAAAAAAATTCTGCAATTCAATCCGTTCCGCTCTAATTTCATATTTAGAATGTGAGAACGAACGCATGATATTGGATAGGATCGTTTGAACTTACTCTACAATATAGAAAAAAGAAAAAAAATACTGACTTGGTCAATCACATTTTATGTAATAAAGGTAAGTATAATAAACACATATTTAATTTAGTTTAAAATTGTAATAATTACTACTACATTTATGATCAAAACAAAAACATACAAGTAAGTAATAAGATTTTTTTCTCTATTATACACTTAAATCATGCTTAATCAATAATTAAGAAAGATAATAAGTATCAAAATTCTATAAAATGTTATACCAAATATCTACCTATATAAATGCCATTTTGAATACGAATTTGCTTTTAAAATAACTATTACTAATTACCTAAGTAACAAAATGTTAAAAAAATACGAATTTGCATTTACAATAACAACTATTACTAATTACCTAAGTAATGAAATGTTAAAAAATATATTCTATATTTTAACATCTAATTCAATTCATTTTCATTGTTATCGAGTATAATTAATAAATAATTTTAAAATCGTTTTATTATAATAAATTCGTTTGTTAATTGTAACGGCACTTGTGTGTTAGATGCAATTCAATATACATATACAATAATACATACGTACGTTTATATATAATTGAAATTGATAACTTGAAAGGAATAAATTATATAAAAGGTAATGAAAATGTATTTGTATAAAGGAGACCTGTTTGATTGGAATTAAAAATCTGAGTAAGTGACTGTTAACTTCGTGCTACTTATAATTTAAATACTCGAGCGCAACGTAGTTGAAGTCGCATGTAAATACAAGTACGTTGATTGATACTCTTCAGTTCGTAAAGTACGAATAATTTTTTATAAAATTAAAAAAAGTAAAAAAAAAAGAAAAAAAAAAGATAAAGTATTTCTTCATAAATTTATCGCAGAGACCAGATCTTCCATTTGAGTAGAAAGTATGCACAGCAACGTGTTATCAAAAGTATTACGGATAAGGCAATGATGTCGTTCCAAAATTGATCACCCCTCATGGCGATATCCGATAGAAATTTATTAGGATATCTATAATGACAGTATATAGTTTCCTTGTCACTCTTACAAGGTAAAGTTGCACGATCCATTCCGTATATGGCATTAACATATCTAAAATCAACGAGAACATCGTCTTTCGTATAACATTATGTAAAAGATAAAACATAGACGTAAATGCATGCATGTTATGTGTATATATACGCGCGTGCGCACATATACATTATAGATGTATATATATACATATATATATATATACCCTTCTAATCCGTATCTTAGATAACTGACGTAGCTACCCCATTTGAGATAATTTGGCAAATCACGCAAAGACACTCCAAATCCGGCAAACATCATTAATGGTACCGATAAAGCTGGTCCTATGAAAGTACCGTTCTACGAAAAAAAAAGATTAATTAAAACGATTATGCATGATTGTCTTAAAATTATTATCATTTAATCAATTTTTTGATAAGAAGTTGAGAAAATAGCGATACGTATACTTACGACTATGTTTAATACTGCGCCTATCATTAGACCGGTTCCTTGAGCGATAAAAGTAACTAATAAGCTAATTGTAAAAAACATGAAAAATCTACTAATTTCCAACGGCTGAGACGACATGAAGTATATTATAATAGAGAAGAGTATACAACAGACCACGGAAATTGGTATATCTACTATCGTAATCGCCGTGTAAAACGATTTCAAGCTGTACCATCTATTAAAATGCTCCTTAATTAGAATTTCCATCTGCATGGGAACTGAAAAGAAAGTTTGAAAATTCTTAAAATTCTGAATTTATGCATTTTCATATATATTAACGAGGAGTAAACTTACATGTAACTATAGTCAACATCATCGTTGTCATCATATGATGTATAAGTATCGCAAAGAGAAGATTATAATTATCCAATACTCTAGCACCATCCTCGCCCGAATGAATGAAAACCAAACCAAGCATTAATCCCAACATGATGTTGACTGTGATACGAAGATGAGTTAATGTCTGCAACATATAAAACGATTTTAATGGATTTTTACGGATGAACAAATGTTTTTATTGGAAAAATTTCTAAGATATAAAGTAAGAAAATTTTTTTTAATATATTTACCTGATCCCTCTTGGATATTATGAAACCTTTTTTCAATAAGACACTGATTTGATAAATCAACGGCGTAGCCTGTAACTCAGAAGTTGAATCGACCATTTGCTTCTTTAATGGGTGCAATGCTGCGAACGTTCAATCATAAAATAATTGCAAACTCATATACTTGGATAAGGTCTATGGTAATGCATTGTACAAAAATGATTATACCCCTTAACGCTTTCGCATCTTTCAATGTCTGAGGATTTTCAAACCATTGCACCAGTCGACCATTGTCCGAGCCGTTTATTAATCTCTTCAACTGCTCTTCGCCATATTCACCGCACGCCAATTCGATCACTGTTACAATCGATTTAATATATTTAATAAAAATAAATTGAGAAAAAGAAAAAAAAAAAAAAAAAAAGAAAGGGCGGAATGAAATTTAGGGAAAGACATTGCTTACCATAATCCGCAGGATTATGATAGATCGGACAAGGTAATTTCATAAAGTTCAAGTACGGAATTAATTTCTTGGTGGATCCTTGAAATAGACAGTTTCCTTGGGCAAGAACATAGATCTACGAAACGAAATTGAAAGGTATATTTATTTAATTTGCCATTTGTTACGTCCATATAATCATTCCAAATATATTTTCTTTATATCATTAATTTACCTGATCAAAAATTTGAAATAAAGAAGCATTAGGCTGATGAATCGTACATATTATCGTTCTTCCTTGTTTGGCAAGAAGTTTTAAAAGGTTTACAACTTGCATGCACGACGAACTGTCCAATCCTCTGAAAATAATATTCAATATATTTTAAAGCAAACAACCGTATATCGCGTATGTTACGTCAATCGTAGAATAAATAATTGGAAAGGCTTACGTTGTCGGCTCGTCTAAAAACATCACAGTAGGATTATTAACCAATTCCAAAGCGATAGATAATCTTTTTTTTTGTCCGCCACTTAATTTTCCTACTCTCGTATTTAAATGTTCGTATAGTCCTAAGGTCGTGAGTATGTCCTCTATCTATTATCAAATTGAATATGTTATTCATATCTTATTATAAATAGAAAATAATAATATTATCTATGTATGTAATAAAAAAAAATCTTTGACACTTACTATCGTCTCCTTCTGATACTTTTGCATATTCGTTGGCAATTTAAGATCTGTAGCGATCCTCATAGATTCCATCACCGTGAGTAATGATTCTAAACGATTGTCTTGAGTAATATACGCTGTGCATCTGTTAATTTAGGAAGGAAAAAACGATCGTGCGATTGAAAATAATCATTGAATTTAACGTCTGATCATTCGATCGACTTGACTTTTTTATTAAATATAATATAAAAGGATTAATCCGATTGGAATACATCTAACCTGCGGAAAGAGTTCAGTTCCCTGATTCGTCCGTTAACATAAATGATTCCTTCGACTCCGGTTTCTCGAAAGCCAGACAGAACGTCGAGTAATGTTGATTTACCAGCTCCTGAGGGTCCCATTAGAGCGATTAGTTGTTTCGCTTGGAGCATACCGCTAATTCCATGAAGAATTTCCTTTTGACCTGATGGACGGAAGAATATGAAAGAAGAAATATAATAGAATGACGACAGACGACGAAAGATCGATCGACCGATCGGTCAAAGTTCACTGTGAGATCGTTTGAAAACTTTATAATTAAATCGAACGGGTTTAATGTAACTCTACCTATTTTGTAATATAAATTGCTTATTTTTTAACGCAATTATATATCCTATAATATTAGAGCTTTCAAAGACAATGCGTTATTTGTTATCGGAGATAAATAAACAAATTTATACGCGTTGTCCTACTTTTCTGGTTTTTCTTTCTTTTTTTTTTGTTTCCCCTTTTTCTTTTTCAATCTTTATTTCCAATATAAAAATGTAAAAAATTCTTTCTTCTATTATGCGTTCTAAGGACTACCAAAATATTATAGTTAACTAATAGGCATTATGACTATAAATGATTCATATATTTTTAATCTTTGCATTATGTAAAATTTTAAGAAATATTTATCATCAATTAAATATGCAACGTACATAGGTTTACGTACGTTATTATAGTACCTTGTTAAAATATCGTGAATGATGTTTAAGGATTAAAGTTTGTCAAATTACAATTGTGAATCGAGTACTTTATATTCATAATACCGATCGATTAGAGTCGCCAGTCCTTGAATCGTTTTTTTCAACGATATAAAAAAAAATATTAAATCTATGTCAAAAAATAAAAAAAAAATTATGATTAAATAAAAGGATAAAAGTGAGTAGTAATTATAAATTGTAAATAAATATGGAACCGTTCGCTATGTTAATAGTTTACATACGCGTATGACTGTTAATAGTTTACATACACATATGACGTAAGAAAGAAAAGAAAATATGGTATATACCCTTTCGGAATCCAAGTGAGACGCTATAAGATATGTTTTCAAAAATAATATCGACCATGTTCGCTTCGTTAATCTCCGTGGCGTAAGACGTATTTAAATCATTTTCCTCCGTTTGTTTACTGTCCACCGTTGTCATTTTATTGCTATTTAAGGTGCCATTATGTGGCATATAAATGGAAGAACTGCCGTTGCCGTCAATAATTTCACGCTTGTCCGAGGCCTCGTGTATCAGAACCTCCATTATCGCCTCCAAATATCAAAAGTTTTATGTCGTCTTTATTTCTTCTTGCCAACTTTTTTCCGTCTTTCTCATAAATATCTGAAATATCATATATACGTTCCAACGATTATTCGTTGACTGTTATATCGATCGAAGATTTACGAAAAAAGAAGAGAAAAAAAAAATAAAAAGAAAAAACCCAAAAATGTTAGGTATGCGAAAAGATTATACGATAAGATTAGATTAAAAGTCAATGAAAATGAAGAAAAAACAATTGGGTCTTTGACTCAAGACTCATCGCGGATCATTTGAATTTTCTCTGTACTTGATCGAATGAATCATCAAAAAAAAAAGATTATTTATTATTGATGATATTATGTTATCTACATTAAATACAGGTGTGCATTTGATAAGCGTGTCATTGAGTCAAATTGCTTCGATCGTTTTAATATTCATAGATTAAAATAATGTCATTAATATTCTTAAATTATTATTAGATAAGCTTATAATTAGACAGAAATACCATGTATATATGTATGTATAATTATGTGGGAGAAAACTTAAAGAAAATAGAGCGCATTTTTTGTCCTTTGTGCGTTATTATTATTGTTATTAATAATAATCGGATATGTAGGATCGCGTTCACAAATGAGTAGATAAGAGTAATCTTGTTTGCACGATTGTAAAGAGACGTATGAGGAAGAGGGAGAAGGACGGGGGGAAAGGGGAGAAGGTAGATGAGTGCATGGATTTCAGTCTTTTATAAGTTGGGATATATTAAATTAATTGCAGGAAAAAAATTCATTATGTATGCCTTCTTTCGACATAATAAGCTACAAAAAGTATATGAATAAGTTACAAAGAAGTATATATATATTGCTAAGAGAAAATGTTGAAAAATCAATTGTCAATAATGTAGATGTAAAAGATAGACCAATTGCAAATAAAAACTTAGACGTTTTCATAAGTTACGATATTTTACGATATATTACATATGATAATAACGTCAGAACAAACAATAATAATATAAAAATAAAAAAAAAACAAATGACAATCCATACTATATTAATCATTTTTTTTTAATAGTTCAAAAAATAAAAATATGTTAAACCGTTGTCTATCGATTCATAATTTATAATGCAAAAAACTGAGATGCAATGATGTAGTCATATGGAATTTTTCTATTCCGTGTCGGTCATTATTTCTACACTGTTTTTTTCCCTCACGTAGGAGTGTCTATCCAAGTATAATGTCACATATATATGCATATATATATATATATATATATATAAATGCATATACGACAAATAAAGCTGGCTGATCGAGTAAAGTTCATTAGGCAAGAAAGGAAAATATGAAGAGAAATATAAAAGAGAAACATAAAGAAGAAACATAAAAATGATGAGAGCATAAAAAACTTATTGTTTAAAATTTTCCTTATTGGTTTAAAAAAAGTAAAGTTGTTATATTCGGGACAAAGGAATTACCTCTACGACAAAAGAATTTCTCTTCGTTCCTTATTATAAAATAAATACGCGCGTGTGTGTGCGTGTGTGTGTGTATATGTGTGTAAAAGAAAGCCGGGAGGACAATTATTGGCTTTGTTTCATGTTAGATAACATTGATTCTTTAGAAACCATAGGACGTACGTAACAAATGGCATTTGCTTAGATTTGATATGTATCGAACTCTCCTCTCGGAACAAAGCTGATACACATATAAACGCGCGCGCGCGCACACCCGCACACATTATAGCTCCTTAGTCAATTATTACATATTCGTACAATATCTATATTTCATATAATGATATGAAATGAAATGAAATAAAATAAAATAAAATAAAATAAAATGAAATGAAATGAATGAAAATAATATGAAATCTATATAGCCTGGATGATCTACAGGAAAGGCTGATCACATCTTAAATATTACTTCATTGTTCTATCACAAAGAGTCAACTCGTCTTACGTATCTTTACGTATACAAGTGCAATTCGTGTCCCTAGTAAGAAAAGAAGAAGCGTTAGTTGTGCTTTCACACAAAAATTTCTTTAAACGTTTTTTTTCTCCTTTTTTCGCTAATCTGTAGAAAAATAGGGATATGATTATTTCTAGTTTAAAAAAAAAAAAAGGAAATGAGAGAGAGAGAAAAAAAAGTGATTATGATCGATCGAATGAAAAAAACCGGATCAAAAGATTTTCAGGCTGAAGTACTTAGTTGCACGTACTTAAGAATGAGTACTTAGATAAATCAACGTAAGAAACAAGTTTCTTAAAACGACAATAATCGTGAGTAGTTTTATCGAGCTCTCATTAATGATTAATTATAGGGTTAACCAACAAAACAGGAAAACGAACGATTTGAGGAATAAGTTTTTTCTTTCTTATTTAAGAAAATATCTACGCTAAATCGAAATAGAAATTAAAGTAAAAGTGGTAATAGAAAAGTGACTATAAAGGTATATAGAATATAGGTGCATTGTTATTTATATATGATGACATAGTATATGCCAATAAACAATTTTTTATGAAACGAACCTTGTCCTCTCTCTCTCTCTCTCTCTCTCTCTCTCTCTCTCTCTCACCTGATTATGCTACATGTGATATTCTCTCTTTCACGATATTTACTTTACATGAAACTAAATTGCATTAGTAATATAATAGATAGCTTTTGGATCATATTATCTAACTTGAAAGGAAATGACTAATATCCTATCTTATAATTTTCTCACAGCATCTTATTGCAAGTCTTTTATTAAAGATCTTCTCGTACATGACGCTAATATTGCATTTAACCATTTAAGCGTATTAAATGATCCACCGAATATCGATACGAATGAGAGAAAAAGAATAGGTTGGTTCGCGTACCCAATAATAACGATTCTATTATTTTTATTTATCTCCTCTCATCGTTTATCAATCTCACGATTTAAAAAATTGTTACATATCATATTTTTGTAAAATTACCAATGACGTTTCGTACGCATGACATGTACGATCTTTACGTAATACGTGAAAATTGACAAACATCAAAAACTAGATATCCATAATCGCATATAATTATATTCTCAAATAAACGATTAACAGATATCGCCATTATAAACACTAGTATGGTTAGCAACATTTTCAAAAGGTCATATGTTAAAATCATGTCGATTTTATTCAAGCGTTTAAACATGATCACGATTATATTTTTAATTAAAAATCATATCCTTTTTTCTTAATAGAAATATGATTTTCTTATTGTGATCCATTAGAGATACTTATTGACAAAATACAATAAATCAAATGTTTTCTTTTCCTTTTTTTATATATTGCTTTTTGATAACACGAACTGAGTTAAATACTTATTATATTTATTAGACAAAATCAAGCCTTACAACGAGATATCTTTGAAATATCTTTTACATATATCTTCATTCGTCATATGATGAACGTCATTTGACGAGAGAAATCGGCCTAATTTGGTCGGTCGATCGATTGAAATAATTTTTGATTTATATAAATTTGATTTATATAAAAAATACGACGAATACGTCAAAATACGACATAACTTGATAAACATTCGTTCACTTCAATACCGATCATATTTTTAATGCATTTTGCTTCTATAACAAATAAATTTATTACATTTTATATACAATTTTACGAAAGATCTCGTGGATGCTAAAAAAAAAGAAAAAAAAATCTGCTTGCACAGACTTTTGCACAAAAAAAGAGAAGAGATTGTAATTCTCTTTTCCAAAGAAGAAGGATTATATTAATTAGCTGTCGCACAAGGAGACAGCCTCAGCTCATGATCTTTGCTACGAAAGGAATAAAAAAGAAAAGAAAAAAAACGAAGAAAAAAAAAGAAAAAGAAAAAGAAAAAGAAAAAAAAACACGTTACCAAATACTTACTTTGATTTGACATATAAAATAAAATGCAATTAAAAACGTTCGAAGAAAATAAAGAGTTGTACGTACGTAAATGTTTAGATCCTAAGTAGGATACGTTTTAACACAATAGCATCCTTTTTCTCTTTGTTAAGCGGCCGTTCCCTGGCCGTTACTTTCACGAGATCGCCTGTTTTGTGTGTTATCTTTGTCTTGCAAACTTCTTATATGACTTAGAGACGATAGTACGTATAAACGAAAGAGTGAACTTTAAAAATGGCGGGAAAGGAGGTGTAAAAAAGCAAATCGTTTCGAAAAATACTTTTGAATTTGCTTACGTATGCAATAAGCAACGTTTAAAAGATTCAAGGTTCGTTTTCCTTCGTAAAATTCGGATAGAAGGAATATTTTCTATATCGACTTAATCCTCTTTTCGCGAGCGAGAAGCTAGTACGCGTTGAACACTTCAAACCAACTGAATATCGCATACACGCTCGTTCCTTTCTCTTTATCTAACTTTTTCTCTCTCTCTCTCTCTCTCTCTCTCTCTCTCTCTCTCTGCCTATCTCTCTCTGTCACGTTATTTATTTGCTTCGATTCTATCTCTTTTGCTCGCTTTACCACGACATGCTTTAAGAACAATTTCTACCCCACTCCATCTTCCATTTCTTCCCGATTTCAAAACTTTGTACTCGAGTCGATATATACTGTATGTGTGAGTGTATGTAGTGTATATATATATATATATGTATATATAATGTGTAAATATATATATATCATCCCATAAATAACGTCATCGTACATATATCTGTGACATACATTGTCCATTATCTTTGATCGTTTTTAATCACTGGTATCGTCCTCTTATATGTTTTTCTGTTCAAAGTAATATCATTGAAGTACTTATATGTTTCTTTTTCTATCATTTCTTTATATTATATTTCTTATACTTCTCTTCCAGTAAAAGTTCTTTTTTCTTCTGATTTGTTCGTCGCATCGAACAATTAGAATTTGAGAATTGATAACTAATATATAATTTGTTTCATCGGTTTTTCTCTCGAAGAATCATCTATTATAGACCCTTTACCGAACACTTTAACTTCGATAAATCTTTCTAGACCTTAAATAGTATGATTTACGGATGATTTTATCGGACGCGATATCTCACATCGAACAAATTGTCATTTAATTGTTTTATAACAATTTAATCCAATTTACGAAAGATCGTTCAGGTTAGGTTAAGAACCAAGTAAGGACAAAAAAAGAAAGAAATTTTTCGTTTCCCAACCATCTTTCCTTCTTTCCGACGATAAAGTTATATTCCTGACAAGAGATAATGTTTAATCTACTGTAAGCGATCTGCAATAATAAAAACTTCATTTTTTATAATGGACGTCAAATAAAAAATTTCACGAAAACCGTGATTGTTCGAAAAACAATTTATAATACGTTTCGATAAATTCGTTTAGTATCATGAAAATAACTTAATCGCTCTACGTAATACGTGACGATGATTTTCTATCTTTTTGTTCTTTCTTTATTTTCAAATATGTGACTAACGGATGAACAAAGAAAAATCTATGTTCGAAAGAGGCGGGAATCGATATAAAGCCCCATCTAGGGATCATTCGTTAAAAGTTTTCGATGATAATGTCGATAATTAAGAATACGTTAAACTACTTTACCGATACACACTCTTGTCTAAACATTTCTCGTGTACTTTAATAATAACGTGCCGGCTGCGATATTATTGCGATATTATCTATATCGTTATTTTCTTTTTATAAGGGAAATAAAATTTACAAAAATAACATGCACGATGATCACACGTTGTCATTATTGATGAAAGCACATTCCTTAATTATAATGGATGAATTTTCATATAAATCTTTCCTTTGTTAGAAATAAAAAGCATCTTTTTTCATTGTAAACTTTTGTTTTAAACGTTTTATGTATTAAAATGTCCTAGGTTATACATACGAGCGTAAAAAAAGATACGCAAGAAAGAAAAATTATGCAAACGTATGTAATCATATTCTATTGAATCATAATCATTTATAACGTAAATTTTTTTTTATAGAAGAAAAAACATTAAAAAAAACATTAAAAAATTCTACTGGTTATCTTGAAATATTCTTATCGATCATCAAATAAGAAGAAACTGGTATTAGAACAATAACGAGTAAGCTCGCATTAGCAAGCGCGCGTAATACAAAATCGACCAATGGATACGGTTGTGCTAATTTCGTGATTCGTAGTATGCGTCACTACTGTAACCACGAAAAAATTGAGAAAGACAAGTGCGAGAAGCGGTCTTTATCGTTGAACAGTTCTTTAGAAGGATTCGGCGATGTTAGACGTATCGATGTCGAGGTGTTTTGTTAAAGTTTACCTTCAGTAAAGGAACGCTCGTACGTGTAATTCGCATATTTGCATTAACAGAAAGTGCTCTTTTTGGCTCAATATATATTGTATATTATTTATTCCTGATCGGTAAGTATAATACATTCGTAGTTTCTTCTCAATCTTTAAAATTTTACTTTAAGTGTATTTTTTGAAAATTACGATGAGCATTGGTTTTTCCTTTTCTTTATTCTTCTTTTCTCTCTTTTTTATTTTTTTTTTATTTTCGCAATGCTGCGTTCGACTAGTCGATCGGTCGATCAACATAGTCGGTACCTTAACAATATTTTACGCATCATAACCTCTTTCGACCGATACATTTTACGATTAAGATAGTTATATTAGGATGATTATCGTCGTGTTTCGTTTCTAAAACGTTGATGTTGAAAGTAGAACGTTTAACCGTTTTACGGTCAAGCATTGCCCTTGCTTCTCTCTTTCTCTATGGAATGACGTTTCTATATGCACATACGTATACGGCCATTTCTCTTCCACCGCGATGGTCGATATAGTACATGATAATAACCACGTGATATTTTAACCTCTTCCACCCTTACTGTGGAAAACAAAAATGGAATAGAAGAATGAATCATTGATAATACGTTACCTTATAAATAATCATGTGAATTATATAGTCGACAGGATATCCTGTAAGCAGGAAAGATTGAAATAGAAATTTAAAAGATCGCGTTTAAAAATATAAATCGATTACATACGATCGAAGTGAATCATTGAAATTTATTTACTTATTATATATTACTAATAAAAGCTTTACGATATTTTCTATTTTATTATCGATCTAAGACTGACTTCCTACTTGAAACGAACAAGTATACATGATAATAGACAAACATCAGTGTTGTAATTTTATTTTTCGATGTAACGAACGCTCATCATATGCATGTGGATTATTATGAATAATTACGATTCACGTCGATTTTAAAAACTAAAGGGGAAAAAGTACATTACATATTTTCCTTCGATCATTTTCATTTCGTCTCTTCTGTTCTTTTCTTTTTTCCCCATTTTTCTTTCCTCGTCGTCCATTCTTTACTTTTTGCCATCTAACTTTAAAGTTGCATAATCAATTTAAATACTCTTTAAATTCTGATAAGATTGATTGTTTGAAAAATGAATGATGAGTATCGTCATCATTGCCATAAAACATGAGAACGAGTAAGAGGTATGTACATATTATAAAAAATATGTAAATGATTATTTACTTAATCACTAAACTTGTTCTTGAACGAGATATATACACATGTATATGTTGTGTGTGTGTGTGTGTGTGTGTGTGTGGGGAGGTGGGTGGGTGGGTGTGTGTAAATATGAGATAATCGATGGGATATTGTTTAAAACTTATGATATAGAAAAAAAGAAAAAGAATAAAGGAAACTCGGTAATACGAAAATATAATTTCTCAAAGTGATTCAATTATCCTTGATTATTATTGCGTGTAATATCTTTCAGAATTGGTTGCGAAAATATCCGTCAGTTTAATAATACAAACATATACGTATATATATGTCCATGTTTGAATCGATTCTTTTCTGACTGATTAGTTAATAACGTTTCACTCAGATATCGTATCGTTTTTATGACGTTGTGCTAACATTATTTCTTCTATCATTATTTGGATTTTTGAGTAAATAGGAAAACAAAAGGAAAAAAAAAAATGCAACAGAAATATCTTTCTGACCGTGAAAGTTATCGCGTTATAGTAGTTTTTGAGAGAAACTTAGTTGTATTTACTGTCAACTTGTACACGAAGATAATCGTGCTCTTTCAAATCCACTTTCTAGAAGGCAAGTACTTAGATAAGTACATATCCGCCTAGTATTATATACATAGATCGAATATACAGACACGATGAAAGCTGACGCAAGAATTTTCCTTCCCAATTATTATTTACTGATTTTACGTTTCTCTATTCACCATTTACTCCTCATTCTTCTTTATAGTTCATTGATTTTTTGACCGTAATCATTATCGGAATCCTTTTTATATAACATTCTTTTGTGCCTTTTTCATGGTTAATGATTATTTTTCTTCTCTTTCGATATTTAAAAAAATATAATCTAGGCATTCATTGTATCGTCACTCTTTGAGAATCTTTTTAATCATCATTTTTCAAAAAATATTGGATCAATTCAAGGTACATTAGTTAAGTCGATACTGGAAATAAAAGGTATAAAAGTCTTTAATAAAAGTATTTAATAAAAAGATATGACATGAAAATTTCAAATTGTGAAATCACAGTGCATCGGATTTAAATGTATATAACAATAAGAATAGTTACACTATTGCATGATTTTTTTTATCTAACAACGTTGCTCGTCTCTCTCTCTCTCTCTCTCTCTCTCTCTCTCTCTCTCTCTTTCTCTCTCTCTCTCTCTTTCTCTCTCTCTCTCTCTCTCGCTGTTTTCTCTTCAGAGTAGATCAAGATCAAAGTAATCAGTTTCTCGTTTTGTTTTATCGTGGTATGAATGGTACGAGAGTCGGAACATTGATATTGTTTCTATCAATGTTATTTCAGCGTTGATAAAAGCAATATATTTCTGTCAAAGAACGACAAAAACTTTCCTCGAGTATTTTACATTAAAAAATAAACAAGTGTTTTAAATATATGTATATATAGATTATATGCACAGATAGATATTGCAAAGGTACATGCATTTATATCAGCGCATCCCATTTATAAAATTTATAATCATTTGATTTTTCTTTTCTTTTTTAAGGAAAAATGATACAACCGTTTTGAGATCGAAAGAAGTGGATTTGCCGAGAGACGAGACAGAAATAACAGTACGAAAAGAAGAAAATAATATATTATCGAAAACTCACAATGACGAGCTGCGCTTCTACAAATTGTTCGCCGTCACGATCCTCCTTGAGTTGTTGTCAAATTGACAATACGAGTCAGAACAATGTACAAGACGTCACGATTGTTACCGATACTCTTCCTCCTTCGACTTATATCCTAAATGAAAAGCATTCCTTCCCAAGGAGACCAGAAATTGACTTGGTCTTCAAGAATATACGATTTCGTGTGAAGCAATGGAATCTTCGAAACTTCTCTATAAGTAAGTCTCTGCTTTT